CGCCGGCGCCGCCGGCGCAAGAAGAAGAAGACGCCGCCGTCGTCGCGCATTTTGGGCGTCGGGGCGCGCGACGGCGCCTTCTTCTTCTTCTTGCGCCGGCGGCGCCGGCGCGGCGCCGCGCGCATCGACCGGTGGCCGGCCTCGTCGTACTCCTCGACGCCCGGCGGGCTCTTGGACCGCGTGGACCGCCGGAGCCCCGCGACGTTGATGGCCTTGCGGTCCGGGCCCAACAGGCCCCGCTTCCAGACCGTGAACTTGGAGCAGACGGCCGCGGCCTTGCCCTGGGCCAAGATCTGGGCCTTGACCCGGTCCTTGGCCAGCACCTGGCCGAGCTTCGGCGGGCTCGCCGCGGAGCTCGCGTCGTCGTCGATTGCGAGCAGGGCGCGCGACGCCGCGCGCGCGCGGGGCTCGTTGGAGCTCAGGCGGCGCATGGACTTGCGCTGCTTCTGCACGCGGCTCGTCTTCCGGAGCGCGGCGAAGTTGAAGATGCCGCCGCCGCCGCCGCCGCCGCCGCCGACGGCCATCATCATGAGCTGGTCGTCGTCGTCGTCGTCCTCCTCCTCGCTGTCGAGGTGCTGGTGGAAGTCGCGGATGAAGAAGCCGCGCTTCCGGTCCGCGACGAACTTGACCCACGCGTCGAAGATGCAGCGGCCGCAGAGGATGATGCCCTTGAGGCCGAAGAGCGTCGACGTGCGCTTGTTGCCGCGCAGGATGTCCAGCTCCTTGCACTGCTTCTCGTAGACGAGCACGCGCGTGTGGCAGCTCCACTTGAGCAGCACCTTGGCGAGCACCTGGTCGTCCTCGCTGAAGACGTAGGGCTTCGTGTGGCCGCGGAAGCAGAGGTTGTGGAAGCGGTCGAGCTCGACCTTCTCCTGCGCCGCGAACTCGCAGTGGCAGAGCTGCTCCTCGTCCTCGTCCTGGTCGAGCCACTCGAGCTGGCAGTAGGCCATGTCGTAGCGCTTCACGTTCTCCTTGTAGCGCCGCTCGATGTCCGCGAGCTGCCGCAGCTCGCTCTTCCCGTCCTCGCCCTCCTTCTCCGCCTCGGCGCGGGCCTCCATGATCATGTCCATGACGTCCATGGCGGCCCCGCGGCGCGCGACGCGCGCGGCAGCCCCGGAGAGCGTGGGATGCCGAAACGGGCGCTGGCGGCGCCGGGTGCTGGTTTGGGCTTGCTCGCTGTTGAAGGAAAGATGACGGCAAGAGCGACTTCGACTTTCTGGAGCTCCATGGAGCGGATCGTGCTCCGGCATCAACTACGTGCGGCCACCTTCCGCGGCGTCGCCCTCCGCCCTCCCGCACCCACACAAGCGCTCGCACCACCCCGAGAGCGCCGCGCGCGTCGCCGTCGCAAGGGCCATGGCCGCCTGCGTCGAATTGGGCCGGGACCCCATCTACGACCCGAGCAAGAACGAGGGCTTCCACTACGGCGCGCCCCTCGCCGACATCATGGCGGCCTGCGACGTCCACGACTGGCAGACGGCGCTCCTCCTCGACTACGTCGTCGCGAACAACGCGCACCGCCCGACGAAGCGCGTTGCCCGCGCGGCGCGCGCGCGGCCGCCGCCGAGCCGCGCGTCCGCAGGTACCTCATCTGCACGACGGACGACGCGGACCTGTCCATCGTCGCGTGCACGCAGGGCTGGCTCGACAAGTGCGGCTACGAGGCCGGCGACATCCTCCACCGCAACTGCCGCTTCCTCCAGGGCCCGCTCACGTGCTTCGAGACGATCATGCGCATCCGCACTGCTCTCGAGACGGCGACGTCGCTCGCGGTGCGCCTCGTCAACTACACGAAGCACGGCCACCCCTTCCTCAACGAGTTCCTCATGTGCCCCCTCGTCTCCAAGCGCGGCGGCATCGCCTACTACATCTCCGTCCACGACCCGCCCGACGACCTCATCGCCAAGGCGCGGTCCGTGAACACCGTCGACGCCGACGCGTGATCCCGGCGCCCGCGGCGCGCCGGCGGCCGCGTTTGAGCGCGACCGCCCGCCGCGTTGTGCCCCTTGTAGTAAAATCCGTGTTCGTTCGCAACCTTTTGCCTCTTACGCTTCCTTCCCCGCGAGCCGCAAACGTTAACGTCAACAAATCCGTGTTCGTGCGCACTCTCTTGTTTTCCCCTTACGCTTCCTTCCCCGCGAGCCGCGCCAGGTACGCGGCGACCTGCTCGGTCCACGCGTCGGACATGCCGCGGTAGCGCCGGTGGGACTCGTCGAGCGCGAGCACGGCCTGGCGCAGCACCGCCGCGGCCTTGGGCTCGCGCGCGAGCGAGGGCAGCGGGTCGCTGTAGACGTGGAGCGTGAAGAGGATCATGCCCGACTCGGGGAGGCGCGACACGCTCTGGAACTCGACGCGCAGGTGCCAGTCCCGGGGATCGAGCGCGCCGTCGAGCAGCGGCAGGGCGCCGCCGTCGTCTCTCGCGTCGTCGAGCGCGTAGCGCGTCGGGTCCAAGCCCGCCTCGGGCACCTACGAGGGGGATTTCGAGGCGACGATCGCGCCGAAAAGAAACGCCGCCACCGACCAGGAGCCAGTTGCTCCGCGCCTGGGGCGTGTCGAGCTTCTTGAAGAAGGCGGCGACCTTCTCGCCGACGCCCCGCGCGTCGTTGAATCCCGGCACGTTGCGGTGGATGAACGCCATGGGCTCTCCGAGCCGCATGTTGCCCTTCTCGCCGCGCAGCCCGATCTCCATGAACGAAAACAGCGCGCAGCCGCCGACGAAGCGGCCCTCGGGCGACAGCAGGATGAAGTCCTCCTGGACGACGCGCGCGGCCGTCCAGAGCGGCCGCGCCGCGTCGACGTCGAGAAACATTGGGAAGCTGTTTCCAGACGGAATTTTGCGAAGGCATCGTGTTTGGATTGCGAGGATGCGTCCGGCGCAAAGACGTGCTTCCGGACGCCATGCGTGACTTCAACTTGAAGTTCAACTTAGATCATAGGTTCAACTTGAACTTCAACACAACCCGTCTCGTTCAACTTCCAGCAGCCGCTTTGTCCAGGGTCATTGGGCAGCGGCGCCGCACCACACGGGGAACGACGGTCGCGCGGTCCGACCGCTATCACGGATTTCCCCTCCCGTAGTCCTGGCGCGCGGATCACTAGCGCGTAGCACTAGGGAGTGCTAGGGGTGGGGAGGGCGTCTCGGGGCCGACGAAAAAAATCCCGGTTTTTTTGTCGGGGCTTTGTGTCACATGCTTCGGGAGCATAACGCGACGGTCGGGAGGCCCGCACTCGTCGATTTCGGGGTACGTAAATGCGGAATTGTAGAAACGCTCGTCGTATTTAACGAGACTTCGAGCGCGGCGTTCGCGCGTTGCATCGTCGTGGATTTTGCTCCGGAGGCGCGGAATCCCTTAGTTTTATATGTAGGAAACATGGAACGGCATTTTTTTCCAGCCCCGATTTTGTCTTCGAGGAGCTGATTATTCGAAACGGAGCGCGTCAAATCGACGTAGGGAACTGTGAAAAAAAAAAAGTCCGTGAAACGGAGCCATTTTCGCAGGAGAACGAAACCTATGCGTCGGAAGCACGACACGACCGTCCGAACACGATGCCTTCGCAAAATTCCGTCTGGAAACAGCTGCCCAAGGTTTTTCGCGTCGACGTCGACGCGCTTCTTCGAGAGCTCGTCGACGAACGCCGCGGCGCGGCCGTCGGCGCCGCGGACGACGCGATGCGACGCGGCGCCGTGGCGCTCGAGGTGCCTCGCGAGCATCTCGAGCGCCTCGCGCTCCGCGGCGAGCACGGCTCTGTCTTCCTTCGCTTGGGTCGCGTAGAAGCGGTCCGCGGTGCGCGGGTCGTCCAGGAGCTTCCTACGAAGCTGCATCTGCGGGACGAAGGTCGCCGCGGGCTCGACGACGACCCAGTCCGCGGCGGCCAGGGGGCGCAAGCCGCTGGCCTTGCCGCGCAGCGCGTGCGGCGTCGTTCTTTCCGGCGTCCAGAGCGCCGCGAGCCATTTCGCTGAGCGCGGCTTGTCTTTTGGGCCCTTTTTGATTGCGAGGATGGCTGCTGCGGCGAGGACGAGGCAGATCGTTGCGAGGACGATCATCGGCGATGCTTCGAGCATGGCATGCTGCCATGCGAGGCTGGATGCCATCGCGATTGGGGGGCAGCGACGGCAATGTAGGCCTCAAGTGCCGATATCTTGAGCCGCGGCGCCTCAAGCTCCTGCCTCGCTTTCGACGCAATCTAAAGCACATCAAGATGGCCAAGCTCCTCGTCGCCCTCGCCCTCTGCGGCTCTGCCTCGGCCTACGTGGCCCCGGTCGCCTCCAAGGCGGCCACGCAGCTCGCGGGCGCCAAGGACGAGGTCGTCGACCTCGCGCTGTCCAACACGGACGCCCTTGGAGCGTCCCTGGGCTTCTGGGACCCGCTCGGCGTGACCAACGCCGACTTCTGGGGCCTCGGCAACGAGGGCACCATCGGATACCTCCGCCACGCCGAGATCAAGCACGGCCGCGTCGCCATGGCCGGCTTCCTCGGCTTCATCGCCGGCTGCACGCCGCTCGTCTCCGGCGAGCACGCGGTGCTGCCGTACCGCGGCTACGTCGCGGGCGTCACGCCCCAGGAGCAGTGGGACAACATCCCCCAGGCGGGCAAGCTCCAGATCTTCGCGCTCGTCGGCATGCTCGAGTCCTACGGCGAGGGCGCGGGCTTCCCCGAGGGCTACGTCCACTACGCCAAGGGCGGCATGCCCGGCTACTACCCGCCCATCGGCGGCACGGCGGGCTTCGGCCAGGTCACCTTCGACCTCTACAAGCCCTTCCCGATCTTCCCCGAGCAGACGGACGCCGAGAAGGAGCGCGGGCGCCGCGTCGAGATCAACAACGGCCGCCTCGCGATGCTCGGCCTCTTCTCCCTCCTCTCCGAGTCCGCCGTCCCGGGCTCCGTGCCCGCCCTCGACGGCTTCGCGGACTTCCCCAAGTACGCCGGCAACGTCATGATCCCCTTCTCCAACGACTTCTCCTGGTACGCGTAGGCGCCGGACGGCGCCGTGGGCAGGCGACGCGCGCCGCGGCCGGCTGAAGCTCCCACCCGCTAACGCACCTTAGAGAACTGGGGGCGTTCGCGGCGACCGATCGGCTGAAGGTCTCGCCTCGCGCCTTAGAGGACGCTCGCCTCGTCGGCGCGCGCGCGCTTCGGCGGCCGGTCGTCGGCGGCCTCGGTCGCCGGCGCGTCCGCGGCGAAGGTGCCGCGGACGACGACGTCGTCGCCGACCGCGAGGCTCGCGACGCGCCGCAGGCGCGCGGGGCCCCCGGCGAAGGGCGACGACGCGGGCCCGACGCCGCCGACGAAGACCGGCGCGACGGTCACGACGACCTCGTCGACGAGGTCGGGCCGCCGGAGGAACGCGTCGACGACGGAGACGCCGCCCTCGACGAAGATGGAGTTGATGCCACCACGATCCTTGAAGGCCGGATGATTCTCGAGCCAGTTCCGGTGTGCCACATCGTCTTTCCCTTGTTCCGTTGTCAGCTTCGCGAGGAAACGGCCCACGAGAAAGGTGTCGTCCCAGATGACCCCCTCCTTCCCTTCGTCTGCCGAGGACTCTCCGTCTCTGTGGTCGTCCGGGATTTCTCCAGAGGTGACGTAGAGTATGTAGGCGCCCCTCTGTCGGAGCTTCGTCACGCGCTCGTGCTTCTCCGTATCGTCGGTGCGGAAGTCGGAGATGACGATAATGACGCGCCGTCCCGCCGCCGCCTGGTCGAGGAGCGCGCAGTCCGGCGGCGTCCGCGCGGCGCCGTCGAGCACGATCGCCACCGGCTGCTGAGCCGCGGCGACGTCGACCGCGGACCCGTCCGCCGCGAGGCGCACGGTGAGCCGCGGGTTGTCGCCGGTCACGGTGCCGCGCCCGACGAGGATCGCGTCGTGCATCGCTCGCAGGCCGTGCGTCATCGCCATCGACGCCGAGCCGCTCAGCATGAGGCGCTCCTCCGACGCCTCCGGCGCGTTCGCCATGCTGCCGTCGAGGCTCTGCGCCCAGCTCAACGTCACAAAGGGTCGCGTGCGTGCGGCCCGGTCGACGCGGCCGCTCCGGCGCTGGAGCAGGCGGCGCACGCCGTCGTCGACGTCGTGCGCGGCGATGCGCGTCGCGACGTCGTCCAGGAGCGCCTGCACGGACGCGCTCGACGGCGCGCTCATCGTCCAGAGCCGCTGCAACCAGACGGCTCCGAGCCATATGTTGAACCAAAACTCCAGAATCCCTGGTGGCGACGGACGCCGACCACGCGAGAAGGCCCATCTCCGAAACGCGCGCCGATTACGTGGCGCCCCCAGGCCGAGACCGACGGCCGCGCGCTGCGCGCCGCCAATCGGCCGCCGCGACCGCCCGCCGCGCGCGCACAATCGCCACCCGCCACCCACCGGAGTTCAGAAGTCGTCGTCGCCGAACTCCTGGTCGGACTCCTCCTCCTGCTCTCCCACGATGGCGCAGCGGGCCTCCTCGGTCGTGCGGGCCATGATGTCGAAGACGCCCGTGAAGACCTCGCGGACCTTGGACTTGGCCTGGGTGTAGGCCATCTTCGAGTAGGGCGTCGCGTTGTTCGGGAACCAGGAGAGGAAGAAGAGCTTGTTCGTCGGCCGGCCGTCGTAGGTCGTGAACTCGTAGTCGAAGATGACGTAGCGGCTGTCGGCGTCCGGGAGCGCGGCGAGCATGTCGGGCAGGCCGCTGTCGCGCGGGCCGATGGTCTCGGGCACGACGGCCTCCGTCGTCGCGTCGATCTTGTAGACGATGAAGCGGTGTTTCCGTCGGATCTTGAGCAGCTGGAAGACCTTGCCGCACTCGTCGTCGATGCTCCCGGCCACCGTCTTGTTCGTGAACGTGATCTGCTCGCCGCCCGTCTTCAGGTGCGCCTCCGTGCCGTCGTCGAGCTTCGCCACGTTCTGCGACATGGCGGCGCGCCCTGTTGTTCCAGGCTGGGTGGGAGCTCGTGGCCCAGACGCCGAGAGGGCCGGTGTTGAGCCCAGCTCTTTAGCGAGTGCTGGCACCACAGTGCAGTCGCAATGGCCCGTCCTATTCTCGCTCTACTGAGCCTCATCGCAACCAGCAGCCTCGTCATCCCACCGCACGCATCCACGAGACACACCATGACTCGATGCGAAGCGAAAAAAGGCATGTTTTTCGGAGACGACATCCAGATCAACAAGGCCGCCCGGCCGCCCGCGACGACGGAGGCCATGGCCGCCGCCCGCGCCGTCCTCGTCGACGCCGGCGCGCTGCTCGCCGCGGACGACGCCGCCGGCGCCGCGCGGCTCCTCACGCGCCGCGCCGCGGACCTGCTCGCGTGCGACGGCGCGCAGCTCGACGCGCTCTGCGAGGAGCCCGTGAGGACCGTCGCGCGGGCCGTGCTCGAGGCCGTCGCGGAGGAGGCCGCGGCCGTCGAGGCGACGCGGCGGGACCTGCTCCAGTTCTTCGTCGGCGCCGCGCGGAACTCGTCGGACGCGCTCGACGCGGCCGTCTCGGAGGAGGCCGAGACGATCGTCGCCGTCGCGTTCGTCGACTTCCTCGACGCCGAGGTCGAGCGCGTCGTCGGCGCGGAGGACCCCTCCCAGGAGCTGCTCGACTTCCTGCGGGCGCTGCGCGAGCGCGTCGCCAACGAGGTCGAGAAGCAGGTCTTCGGCGCCGGCGCGGAGGCGCTCAAGCGCGTGCTCGCGATCGGCGACGCGGACCTGCGGCGCATCGCCTTCATCCAGGCCATCGACGGGCCCGCGCGCCTCGACGTCCTGGCGTGCCTCGAGGAGACGCGGCGCGACCTCAAGGCGCGCGACGGCGCGCCGGCGGACGTCGTCGCCGCGCTCGACGGTCTGGCGGCCGTCGCCGCGGCGACGCCCATCGACGTCGACGCCGCGTAATCTTCAGCGCCGCTGGAAAATGAGTCGTGGGCATGGTCGTCTCCGTCGCCGCTGAAAAATTAGTCGTGGGCGTGGTCGCTCTCGTGGGCGAGGATCTGGGGCGCGGCGCGGAAGTAGTGGTAGGGCGTGTACTTGTAGAGGTCCGTGACCTTGGCGCAGTAGATGTCGGCGTACTTCTCGATCTGGCGCTGGAGGTGGCTCTTGTCGTTGTGGGACGCGCGCGTGAGGTAGCCCCAGTGCTTGTTGAAGGTGTGGCCCTCGTCGTAGAGGTAGGGCGCGAGCTCGCCGTCGAGGTCCTTCATGGCGCCCAGGAGCACGCGCGCGCGGTCCCGGGCCAGCGCGGCCGAGGCCTCGTCGACGGCGTGCGGCGGCGACGGCGCGCCGGCGCCGTCCGCGTAGCGCGTGAGCGAGTTCTTCAGGCCGTTGAAGTGCTCGGACAGGTCGTCCTTCCGCCGCAGCATGTCGTCGATGCGCTCGCCCGTTTTGCGCTCGCGTCGCGCGGCCTCGATCTCCGCCTCGAGCTCCTGGACGACCAAAGCCGTCCGCCAGCGCATCGACGCCTTGACCGCGTTCGCGTCCATGAAGATGTGGTCGCCGACGTAGAGCAGCTCGTCCTCCTGGACGTTGAAGAGCTTCTCCACGAGGCGCGCGGACCCGCCGCAGTAGACGCGGCCCGCGGCCATCGTCCGCGCCTCGCGGAGCAACGGCGCGCCGTCCGCCGTCTCCGCGGCGCCCGTGACGACCTCGTAGCACGGCAGCTTCTCCGTCGTGAAGAAGCTCGGCTTCCGCGCGGAGACGATGACGACGTCGAAGAGGTCGCGCCAGTCGTCGCCGCCGCACACAAAGGTCATCATCGTGTTGCTGTACCACCAGTCGGAGTTCGTGATGAGCGCCAGCTTCTTGCCCGCGGTCCGCTGGTCGCCGAGCGTCGCCCGCAGCAGGTCCGGGTCGCGCTGCGTGTACTTGGCCGGGTCCCGGACGACGGCCTCCTTGATGCCGAAGGGCGTGCCCCCGCCCCCGCCGTGCGCGCGGCCCAGGGCCTTGGTCACCGCGCGGTGCCTGGCAGGAAAAGAGTGCGAAATTTCCAACTTTGGAGGCTCATATCTCGGTCGTTTTCCACTCGTTTCGGCTCATTTTTGGACGAGCGATCATCTCTCGGAGCGTTCTCGAAGCGTGGATGCTATTCCCGGAACGGTCGCGCGCGGAACACTCATGTTGAAGATAACTTGAAGCACTCTTTTCCTGCCCTGGCGCGGTGCAGGTCCGCGTAGTTGGCGACTCTGCTCGCGTCGAAGGGCGGCGACGCGTCGCGAAATAGCGCGCCGGAGTCGAGCTTCGACACGAGCTGGGCGTACATGACGCCCTCGGAGACGCTGAAGAGCGTGTTGAGGAAGGAGAAGCGGTTCGACCGCAGGTCGACCTGCGTCCGCCCGTAGAGCGCGTCGAGCTCGTTGCCCTCGAGGCGCGCGTCGCCGTGCATGGCCCGGCGCACGAAGCCGTGGCGGTCGATCTTCAGGAAGTTGCCCCGGTCCTTGTCGATGACGAGGCCCCGGCAGGCCAGGTCCTTGTCGAACTCGAGGTCGGCCACGGGGAAGCCGATCTCCTCGAGGACCCGCTTCGTGCACTCGTAGGCCAGCAGCTCCCACTCGCGCCACTTGTAGTGGACGATGGTGTAGTCCATGTCGTAGCCGATGACCGAGATGCCCCGCAGGTTCAGGGACCGGCTGCAGAAGACCTTGGCCGACGCGTCCGCGGGCCGCGCGCCGCCGAGCGCGGCGAGCGCCTCCTCGAGCGTCTCGCCCGTCGCACCGAGGTCCGCCTCCTCGGACCACTCCTGGTCCTGCTCCGACGTCGACTCGCCAAAGTAGTCGACGCTCCGGTTCCGGTTCGGGGCCGCGTCCGGGGGCGCCCGCAGCAGATCCACGAGGTCGAGGCTCACCTCCTCCTCGTCGCCGGCGATGCTGAAGCCCTCGTCGTCGTCGCTCGCCGTCGCGCGGATCGTCTGCCGGCGGATCGTTCGCCGCGGCGCGTGCAGGAACGCCTGCGCGAGAGCCGTGATGCACAGGAGCGCGCGCATCTCGCGCATCTCGAACAGGATGTCGTGGCGCGGCTCGTGGTGATCGACGAGTGATCGATCGACTGCTTGACGGGAAACTTGAAGTAGTGTTGTAGTTCAACAAGGGAAAACTGATGCCGGGACTAGCCGCTTTCATGAGACGCCGTGGAAACAAAACGCCCATGCCCACATTAACGCCGGATCCTCCCCGGCGACCGCCCGTGGTCGGACGGAGGGTGCGACTTGGCGAAGTGGTCCTTGCACTCCTTCGTGTTCACCAAGCCCTCGTCGCCCATGTGCTCGAGCACGAAGGCCGACTCGTCGAGGAAGCGATTGAGCGTCATGCCCTTCGTCGCGGCCTTGGAAGAAAGCGAGTGGACGGAGACCGTGTAGACGCCGATGCCCAGGTGTCTATCCAGCCTCGCTCGAGACTCCCGAAACACCTTCGCCAAAAGGACGAGCCCGTGCATGACGCCGTTCGTGCCGTCGGAGTCGGGGTTCTGCTTGTCCAAAGTCAGGATGTTCCGCAGCAGATCCGGCGCGTAGTAGACCAGGATGGCCCAGCCGTCGTCGACGCCGGACTTGTTGAGCTCGTCGACGAGCAGCGCGCGCGTCGCGGGCTCCAGCATGTCCAGCGCCCGCCGCAGCCGCGGCACTTCGTTGGCCTTCGCCCGCAGCATCATGCTCAGGCGCACGAGGTGGCGGTCGCCCTGGCGCCGGTCGTCCTTCGGGATGTCGAGCTTCTTCGCGTGATGCTTCAGGAATTTGTCGTAGACCTTGACCTCCGTGGAGTCCTCCTTCTCCAACTCGAAGAGGTGCTCGCAGGCAACCTTCGCGCCGTCGAACAGGAACTTGAGCCGCGTGAAGGCCGGCACGCGCGCGATCCAGGAGAAGAGCGTGAACCGGAGCAGCGACGGGTCCGACTTGCACAAATGCTTCAGCGGCGCGAGCGACGCCGGCAAGCTTTCGCCCTGCAGGAACTGGCCCAGGTTAAAGGCCGTGGACGCGACGAGGTAGACGGTGTCGGGGCCCTGGTCGAGGCGCTGGTACGACGGCAGCAGTCCCGGACACGCGGACATGGCGTTCCGCAAGATCAGGTCGTGGTCCACGGACTCCAACTGCGTCTCCAGCGCGACGTCGTCGGCGAAGGCCTTGATCTTGCCCACCGTGCAGCAGGCCAGGTAGCAGAACAGGTTGTCGAGCTTCTCCGCGCGCGTCCGCGCGTCGTTCTGCGGCGACGCGACGACCCGCTCCAGCAGCTCCTCCCGCAGGAACGTCAAATCCGCGTCGGACAGCGGCGCATTGCCCGTCTTGCACTCGTTCCAGCCGCCGCGGTGTTTGCCGAAGAGCTTCGCGACGAGGCACAGGGACTCGATGCGCTCCGACCGCTCGCGCGACGCCGCGTCGTGCTGCTCGGACCTGGGCAGCACAAGGGTGATTCAACGTCGCTTCAACGTGAGTGTTCCACGCGCGCGCGTTCCGGAAACAGCATCCATGCTTCGAGATCGTTCCGAGAGATGATCGCTCGTCCAAAAATCAGCCGAAACGAGCGGAAAACGGCCGAGATATGAGCCTTTGAAGTTGGGAATTTCGCTCTCTTTTGCTGCCCTGGCTCGGACGCGCCCACGTCCTCCTTGAGGTCCTGGCCGTTGAAGTACTCGATCTCGGGGTACAGCGCGCCGACGTGGGTGCGCAGGAACGTCGCGTAGTCGGGCCAGGGCTCGTTTCTGTCCAGTAGACGTTTGCAGAGCATGAGGCACGCGGTGCCGCCGCCGTTCGCGTCCTTGGCCCCCTTCAGAATCGCCGCGGCGCCCTCGTCGAGGGGCGTCACCGGCGGCGCGGGCGTCGCGGCGACGGCGACGCGCGGGCTCCTCTGCGCGGGCGCCAGGCCCGCGGCGTCGCGGTCGACGTCCATCGCGTTGTCGACGCGCGCCTCGAGCTTCTCCATCATGACCCCGTAGGCGCCAAAGTCGCGCGCGGCGCCCGCGTCGGCGAAGGCCGCGCGGCGGAACGTGCGGGCGATGCCGTTGCCCAGGAGGGACACGAAGGAGTCGCGTTGGTGCGTGACCATGCCGAGCTGCACGAAGCACCAGTACTTGGCCGAGCGCTCGTGCGCCTTCACCGTCTGCTCGCTCAGCAGGGCGATGAGCAGGTTCATGAGCAGGAGCACGACGATGAGCAGGTAGAGCACGCTCAGCAGCTGGAAGGCGCCCGTGCCCGCGCCGTCCATCGTCAGGATCTCCCAGTAGGACACCTCGCCGAACGCGGAGCCCCAGTTCATGCCCAGCGCCGACACCATGGTGTTGTAGTGCGGGTCGGACCAGGCGAACATGATGTGCTCCGCGGACGCGAAGGCCATGCAGACGATGAGCATGAGCACGCCGAAGACCGTGAGGTGCTGCACCATGTACGTGATCTCCAATACGAGGATCGCCGCGCGCTTCCAGACCCGGAGGTACTCTAAGATGCGCAGCCAGCTCACCCAGCACAGAAAACTCAGGATCATGATGTGGCGGTCCGCGAGCGCGAAGGCGCGGTCCACGGGCACGACCTCGTCGCGCGCGTTCCAGTCGACGTCGTCGCCGTCGACGTCGTGGACCTGCTCGACGCGCGTCAGCGCGTAGGCCGCCACGAGCACGAAGAAGACGACGTCGATGATGTTCCAGGGGTTCGTCAGGTAGGAGTACTTCTCCTTGACCGCCTGGTCGAACTCCTGGACGAAGAAGAAGCACGCGAAGACGAAGCACGCGACCTCGAGCCACAGCACGACGCCGCCGTCGCCCGCGCCGTCGCCGCCGCCGCCGCCGCCGCCGCCCGCGCCCGTGGCCAGGTAGGGCCAGACGCGGGCCACGCGCGACTCGACGTAGGGGATGCCGCCGCCGCCCTCGGGCGGGAACTCGACGACGAAGTGGAGCGCGCAGAAGAGGTTCGCGTTCGCGTTGTAGACCACGAGCCGCAGGTCCACGGCCCGCGTCGCCGCGTCGACCCAGTCGTTCGCCGCGAGGCTCGCCAGCACGTCGCTCCGGTTCGCCGCGGCGCGCGGGAGGTCCACCGCGAAGCCGCCCGCCGGGTACGTCGCGTACGTGAGCGCGCGGCTGCGCCCCCGGCGGCCGAGCTGGCGGCCGCTCCGCCACGTGTAGCCCCGGAGCGCCGCCGCGGGCACGGCGCCGTCGTCGTCGGACGCGCCGGGGCCGTAGGCGCCGCGCGACAGCGGCCGCGCGGCGCCGCGGCCGCCGAACGCCGCGGCCGTCCAGTGCCTGCGCCCCTTGGGCTTCGACGGCTCGCGGAAGCAGAAGGCGACCATGCCCTCGGCGCGGTCCGGCACGTCGCAGAGGTTCGCGCGCGACCGCCACTGCATGAGCCGCGGCAGGCCCACGAGCACGCCGAAGCCCGGGAGGAAGTCGCGGCCGTCGACCTCGATGGACTCCTGGCCGTCGCCGGACCAGCGCTCCGGCGCCGGCGCGTCGAGGGCCGCGGCGAAGGTCGTCTCCAGGAAGTGGAAGAGGTCGTCGGCGTTCGTGACCTGGTCGAAGCCCAGCGCCTCGCCGTCGAACGGGTGCGGCCCCTTCGCGGGCTTCCGCGCCGCCGTCCTCGCCGCGAAGCCGTCCTCCGCGAAGGCGTCGCGCAGCCCCCGCGCGAACTCCGCCGACGACGCGAAGGAGCTGCCCGACGAGCCCGTGACGACGACCGTGGCCAGCGTCGTGAGGCACGCGACGAAGACGAGGTAGAACGCGAGCATGAGCACGGACCCCGCGAAGCACTTGCGGAGCCACACCGTGCCGACGGCCTTCTGGACGCGCTTGTTCCCGAAGAGCAGGTGGTAGGGCGCCTCGCCGTGGTGGTCGCTGCGCGAGTCCGCGTCGTCGAAGGTGTCGCGGCGCTTCAGCGCGTGGGGCGGCGTCTCGCCCTCCTTCGGCGTCTCCGCGTCCGCGACGCGCGTCTTGTGCTGGTTCGTGGGCGCGCCCGCGAAGGGCGCGCAGAGGAACCGCAGGATGGCGCGGCCGATGGACGCGGGCGACCGGAACACGGCCGCGTGGCGCGCGTGGAGCACGCCCTCCAAGTCGTCCTTCTTGATGTTGAAGTAGTGCTCCTGCAGGGGCACGGAGAACGCGGGCAGGTCGTGCTTGTTCCTCCGGCCCAGGTCCGCGTTCCCGTTGAGCAGCTGCTCGACGACGCCCTCGAAGTTGCCCTTCTTCGCGACGTCCGCGACCTCGACGACGGACGAGAGCCGCCGCTCGCGCCCGCCGCCGAACGCCGCCGGCAGGTCACCGTGGGCCAGGTCGCCGAGCCGGCGCATCGTGCCGTGGCCGAAACCGCTGAGTTTCTCCCGCAGCGACGTTTCCCCGTACGCTTGGTCCTCGTCGAGCCAGCCGAGCGTCGACAGCTTGAGCTTCTGGTCCTTCGTGTGGTAGCGCATGAGCGAGATGTGCAGCGCCGTGTCGCCCCACTTGTTCGCCGTGTCGACGTGGCTCCCGGACTGGAGCAGCACCATGACGGCGCCCGTCGCGCCGACGCGCGCCGCGGAGTGCAAGGGCGTGTTGCCGTTGATGTCGCGCGCGTCGACGTCCGCGTTGTGGTCGAGCAGCGCGCGGATGATGGACACGTTCTTCCGGTCCGACGCGAGGTGGAGCGGCGTGTGGCCGTACTTGTCCTTGGCGGAGACCTCGGCCTTGCCGTGGACGCAGAGGGACCGGATCGTCTTCGGCTGCTCGATCTCGCACATCGCCGCGAGGTGGAGCGCCGTCCGTCGCGTCGCGTGCTCCGCGAGGTCCGCGTCGATGTCCTCGGCGACGCCCGAGCGGTTCAGCGGGTCGCAGAGCGCCAGCACGACCTTGACGTAGCCCAGCGACGCCGCGTGCATCAGCGCCGAGTAGCCCCGGTCGTCCTGCGCGTTCAGCGACACGCGCTTCTCGCCGCCGTACCAGATCGTCGGCCAGCCCTGGACGTGGGTCATGAGGCGGGAAACCAGGCCCACGTCCCCTAAAATCGCCGCCTCGTGGAGCGCGCGGCGGCCCGCGCCGTCCTTCGCGTCGACGTTGCAGAGGTGGAACGTCGCGCCGCGCGCGTCCCGGTAGGGCCGGAGCAGCTGGTCCACGACGTCGTGGCGCCGCCGCCGGATCGCGTGGAGCAGCGGGCTGCCCACGGCGGACCCCAGGTCCATATCCAGCACATCGCCCTTGCCGTCGTAGCGCGAGTAGCTCAGGAGCTTCGCGCGCGCTTCGTACAACTCGCGGACGACGTCGCACAAACCCTTCTCGACGGCGAAGCGGTAGACGTCCTGGGCCCAGGGCTCCGCCGTGTCCTCGCGCACCCAGGCGCCGTGGCGCAGCAGCACCGTCGCCGCCTCGTTGCGCCCGTTCTTCACCGCGGCCTTGAGCGGGTTCAAACCCGCGGCGTCCGGCGACCGCGGGTCCGCGCGCCACGCGGGCCCCAGGAGCGCCGCCAGCACGTCGACGCGGTTCCGGATGACGCAGTGCATGACCGCCGTGCGGCCGCGCATGTCGCGCTCGTTGGCCCGGTCCCGGCGGCCCGCGCCGCGGTCCTCCGCGCGCTGCGCGAGCTGCCGGAGCTTCTTCACGACGCCCAGCCTCCCGTACGTCGCCGCCAGCATCAACGCCGTGCGCCCGCGGTCGTCGCGCGCCCCCAACACATCCACGCCCCGGTCGTCGAAGGAGTCCAGGATGAAGTCGTGGCCCCGGTGGGCCGCCGCGAGCGCCTCCCGGGCCACGAGGCTCGACTCCTTGGGCTCCGCGCCGCCGGCGGCCGCGCAGCGCTTTTCGAGGTCCCGCCAGCCGTCGAGGCGCGTGTTCGACCACTGGGGCATCTCGTCCCGCAGGAACTCGTTGTCCGACTCCGGCAGCACGACGACGGGGAAGGGCAGCTCGTTGAGGTCGACGAGAGCGTCGTGCGGCGACTCGCGGCGCCGCTCGTCGACGAGGCGCGCCATCTTCTCCGTGATCACCAGCGCCGTCGCGCGGCCGCGGATGGCGATGGCGACGCGCTCCCGGAAGATCTTCAGCGAGCGGTCGTCGTGCTGCTCGAGGAGCGCGATGCGCGCGGGGCCGGGCGCGGCGCCGCCGGCCGCGGCCGCGCCGTCGACGGACGGCAGCGCGACGCCACTGAGGACGCGCCAGACGCGGCCGTAGACGCCCTCGCCGGGCATGGGCGCGCCGAAGGGCGCCACGCGGCACGTGTGCACGATGCCGCTCAGCTCGAGCAGCGCCGCGGTCGCGTCCTCGGCCGACGGGCCGCCCTGGTGCCGCGTCAGGCTGTACCACGCGCGGTCGCCGCCGATGGTCGCCAGGGCCTGGCGCAGGGTCCGCCAGTTGCTCGCCGCGCTCTTGGGCGTGAGGATCTTGCGGAAGAGCGCCGCGCCCCGCCCGGGCGTCGCGGCCGCGGGCGTGCGGGGGAGGGGCGTCTGCGCCGGCGCCGCCTCGCCGTCGCTCAGCGATTTCACGGGCTCGGCGCTGAGCGACCGCTGCGGCCGGCGTTCCTTCTCGCGCCGCCGCACCTTGCGGCGCGGCGGCGCCGCGTCGTCGACGTCGGGCATGCTACGCGAGCGGAGCAGGGCTGCCCAGCATTGCCCCGCAGTTTGCGGGGTTCGAACTGGAACCCACTTGAAGTCTTCAAGGCATTTATGTTTACCTCCTTGAACTCAGCGAGCGCTCTTATGGCAAGGGCAGGCCAAGACCGCAGCCAGCCGCCGGGGGCCGAGCCAGCCAGCCAGCCAGGGACGTCCAGTCCACGAAACGACCCCTCGCTACAACCTCTACAACGCGCGCCTACGGCGCGCCGCGCCGTCCTGGGGCGGCTGCGGCGACCGGCTGGCCGCCGGCCACGCGCGTCGGCGCTCGCGCTTCCGTCACCCCCGGCGGGCCACTCCGGGCGCCTAACTAGATTTTGACATGATTCCCGCACGAAAATCGCAAGATTTGCACATGCAACGTCTACATTGAAGAAATGGGTGGCTGTCAGCGACCGAGCCAGCCAGCCAGCCAACATTTACCTTGCGGTCTGCCAAACCGGCTCCCGGTAAGGATTGTTATCGTGGACTGCCCTAGCTTATGGCAGAGCTGTGCGCAGCTTCCGCTGCCAGCAGCCCTGGCGCACCAGCCGGCCCGCGCGGCGACCCCGGCGCATCGACAAGCACTAACAACGACGCCCGCCTGCAGCTCGTCGGCCCGGCGCTCAAGGGCAAGACGAAATGGCTCGGCGCGGCCCTCGTCGACGGCACGCTCCTGGGCATCCCCGGCCACGCGACGAGCATTTTGCGAATCGACCCGCGCCTGGACCGCGTGAGCGTCCTCGGCGAGGGCTGCGTCAACAAGCGCGGCGTGAACAGATTCAAATGGCTCCGCGGCGTCGCCGTCGGCGCGAGCGCCTACGGCATCCCGATGCACGGCGACGCCGTGCTCAAGGCGACGCCGCGCGTCGACGTGTCCAAGGTCGAGCTTCTCGGCCGCAAGGAGCTGCGGCGGACGTCCGGCGACTTCAAGTGGCACGGCGGCCAGCTCGCGCCGAACGGCAAGATCTACGGCGTCCCGTGCTACGCGGACGCGGTCCTCAAGATCGACCCGGCGCGCGGCGACGCGGTCAGCGTCTTCGGCGACCTCCCCGCGGGGCCGGCGAAGTGGTACGGGGGCATCCTGGGCGACGACGGCAACATGTACTGCGTGCCGTTCAACGCGTCGCGCGTGCTGAAAGTCGTCACGGCCGAGGATCGCGCGGAGTTGATCGGCCCCGAGCTCGAGGGCGAGCACAAGTGGCACGGCGGCGTCCTGGGACCCGACGGGTGCGTCTACGGCTTCCCGGCGCACGCGGGCAGCGTGCTGCGCGTCGACGCGGCGACGGGGGACGTCGCGCTGCTGCCGCTGCCGGAGGCGGAGCCCTTCAACGGCGGAAAATACAAGTGGGGCGGCGGCTGCGTCGCGAACGGCTGCGTCTACGCCGTGCCGTCCGACGCGAGCCGCGTGCTCAAGGTCGACTGCGCCACGGGCGCCGTGTCGCTCTTCGGGGACCTGCCCCGGCGGCGGAACAAGTGGCAGGGCGGCGTGCTCGGCGGCGACGGCCGAATCTGGTGCGTGCCCTGCGACGCCGACGCCGCGCTCGTCATCGACCCGGCGTCGGACGCCTGCGCGCTCGTCGGGTCGCTGCCGCCGGGCCCGGACAAGTACCAGGGCGGCTACGCGGACCACGACGGCAACGTCTGGTGCGTGCCGGAAGACGCGAAACGAGTGCTGAAGATGCACGCGGTGTCGTGCGATCATTTCGTGGCCGCGTACCTCGCGCGCCTCGGCCTCGACGCGGCGCCGCCGCCGCCGACGCGCGCGACGCTCGATCTGTTGATCGAGGCGCAGCTCGAGCGGATCCCCTTCGAGAACCTCGACCTGCTGCTCCCGGGGAGCCGGCGGACGCCGCTCGCGCCGCTCGCGCTGCGGGCGAAGATCTTGACGCGGCGCCGCGGCGGCCACTGCCTCGAGCTCAACGGCCTCTTCTCCGAGTTTCTCGCGCGGCTGGGCTTCGAGTGCAAGCTGCTGCCCTGCCGCGTCTACGCGGGGCCCGAGCGGGGCCGCGGCGACGCGGGCTTCCGCCACGTGCCGAGCCACGCGGCTGTGGTCGCGCGCGTCCCCGGCGGCGACGCCTACTTCGTCGACGTCGGCCTCGGCGAGCCGCCGCTGGCCGCCGTGCCCTTTGCGCCCTCCGGCGACGCCGTCGAGACGCCCGAGGGCATGGCGTCGCGCGTCGTCGCCGTCGACGACGACTGGGAGCTCCAGTGGCGCCGCGGCGGCGCCTGGGCGCCGCGGCTCCGCTGGGCCGCGGCGCACGGCGCCTGGGAGCATCACGGCCCGTCGCTCGCGGAGTTCGAGGCCGAGGCGGCGCGCTACGCGCGCCAGCCCATGGGCCGCAAGTTCGTCTGCTCCAAGGTCACGCGGCACCGGAAGACGACGATCTCGAACGCGTCGCTCAAGGTCACGGCGCCGCGCTTCGGCCCCGGCGTCGTCGTCGACGTCGTCGACCTCGGCTCCGAGGAGGACGTGCGCCGCGCGCTCGAGGCCCACTTCGGCGTGCCCTACGCGGAGACCGCGGGGCTCGACGTGGCCGCGGGCGCGGGGGAGGACTGGTGGAGCCACCTCTAAATTAGGAAGCTACCACAAATCTAGACTGGATTTAAGAATTCCCCCTCGTCAGGGGGGAAGGGTTGGGGGAGAACAACGGGGGCGGCAACGCCGAGGCGTCGGGCGCCGTCGCCATCGACGTCGAAATCGCGGGTCCCCGGTAAAGGTCAATGTTGAACATAAATTGACGCAGTTCTACAGACCCCGCGTTCAAATACACAAATTTATCACCGAGCGCGAGCCTTTGCTGACTGATTCTCGATAATATGCCTATCTCTGGTGTGACCAACCGCGACACCATCCGGCAGGGCGCCGTGCATGAGATCTTCTTTGACGAACGCGAGTGCATCGGTCACAGCAACAACCTTTACGCCCCGTCGCGCCTGCTGAGTGACAGCGAGAAAGCGACGCTGATCAAGCAGCTGCGGGAGAGCGATCCCAAGGGCTGGGCGGCCATCCAGGAGGCGCTCGACGAAGCCGAACCGCATGACGAAATAACGCGGCGCAACCCGCTGCTCACGGAGCAGGACGCGGACGGCAACATCCACGCGGTGGCGACGATCGTCGTCGCCCTGGACGACGCGGACCGCATCAAGGGCGCGATGGCGTCGCGGCGGGTCTCCGACGGGACCAAGCACAAGAAGAGCGGCAAGACGTACTTCGGCTCGCCCGCGCGCGACGAGTTGAAGCGCGCGCTCTTCGTCGGCACGTCGCGAATTTTCATGATCGACGCCGCGGTCCTCCTCAACACGCGCGTCGCGTGGGTGGAGGCGGATGCCATAGAGACATTGAAGGACGGCCTTGGCTGCCGGATCGCGCCGCAGAGCCGCGAGGCTCCCAGGCTCCGGCGCATGGAAGCGGGGCAGACCGTCGCCGGCGCGTCCCTGACGCGGCCGCGGGAGCGGCAGCGGGGCCGCGAGAAGGCCATGCACGCCGAGGAATGCAAGGGCAAGACGGATGAAGCACGCGAGCGGAAGGCCAACGCCAGCTTCGGGAGCGCCGAGATGTCGGCCGCGCAGGAACACGCGTTTCACAACCATTCGGAGAAGCAGAAGGCGCGGAAGTTCGGCGGCGACGAGGTCTCCGAGTTCCAGCTCCTCTCGGCGGAGGCGAGGGCGAGGGGCCACAAGGCGGCGAACCTCTTGCGGAGCCACCTCGACCAGGGCGGCTCGCCCACCTTCGAGTGCGACGGCTACACGATGCAGATCCGCGACGACCCCTTCCGCGTCGTCGAGCACGCGCCGCTCAACAAGAACGGCGAGTACCTCTTCCGCCAAGGGCAGTGCAAGGGCGACTTCAAGATCCACGTCGACGAGGTCGACTCCGACGGCGAGCCGCTCGACGAGCCGCGCGACGTCGACGACAGCGACTACGACAGCGACGACGACGACTCGGTGTGGCTCTGTTTCGACGTGGCGGCGGAGCTCAAGCTCCTCAAGCCCCACTTCGAGCACCAGCGGGAGATCGCCGACATGACCCGCCCCTCGCTCAAGCGCGCGCTCAAGGAGGACAAGCTCAGCATCGCCGGCAACGTGCCGGAGCTCAAGAAGCGCCTCTACCTCCACCGGACGGGCAAGCGCATCACGGAAGTGAAGTTCTAGGTAATAATGGCTAGCAACAAGAAGTACAACGTACGCCGTCGAGACGCAAAGCGCGGGCAGGCTGCTATATATTCCCCTCCTACAGTGCCGTACAGCCCACGTCTCCGGACGTCTCCGAGAGAAAGTTACGCCACTCACCACCCCCTAGAGCTCCTTCTTCTTCGTCGTCTTCTTCTTCTTCTTCTTCTTCTTCGGCGCGGCGTCCTCCGGCGGCGCCGCCTTCTTCTTCTTCTTCGCGTCCGCGGCCTCCTTCTTCAGGCGCTTGCTCTCCTCCGCGGCCTCCTTCTCGAGCTCCGCGGCCTTGGCCGCCTCCTCGGCGAGGAGCTCGGCCATGAAGTCGTCGTCGAGGGAGTCCTCCTCGGCCGGCGCGAACTTGGCCGCGTGGACGGCGCCGCAGTCGCCGCCGGTGGGGGCCGCGAGCGCCGCGCGGAGCGGCGCCGTGGGCACGCGGCCGGACACGACGCCGCGGAGGAAGGACTTGACGTCGGCCGCCGCGTAGCGGCCCACGAGCGCCGCGTAGCGCTCCTTCTTGGGCGCGTAGGCCACGAGCGTCGGGAGCGAGCTCTCGTAGACGTCGAACGCGGCGGAGAAGTCGGCGAAGCACGCGCCGTCGACCCAGCCAAAGGCGAAGGGCGACGGCTGCTCCGCCTTGGCCACGCCCTCGGCGACGGCGAGCTCGTCGGCGAACGTCGACCGGCCGTGCTCGTCGAGGAGCGCGACCGCGCAGAGCGCGTAGGGCGACTCGGCGCCGCAGCTCTCGGCCCAGGCGTCGGCGTCGTTGAAGGACGAGAAGACGGCGCCGCCCTTCTTCGGCGCGGGCCCGCCCGCGCGCGCGGCCTTCTCCTTCTTGACCGCCGCGGCGTCGAAGTTCGACGCGCCGTGGAAGCCGTCGTCCAATTCGTTCGCGAGGTCGGGCGCGAGCTGGCCCAGGACGTCCAGGGAAAACGCCACCAAACTGCGGAAGGACGGCGGGCCGAACTGGCGGCGGTCGTACTGGGCCGCGCCGATGGCGCGCTGGTCCATGGGCGTCGTCTCGTCCGGCGCCTGCGCGAAGAACGCCAGCACGGACGGGAGCTTGCGCACGCCGTAGGCCTCGAGGGCGCCGGGCTCCGGGTTCGAGTACTGCGCGACTTTCACGCCCGCGTGCTTGCCCAGCGTCGTCGCGAGCGCGCGGATCGCGGGCGACACGTCGCCCTTTTTGGTGAAGAGCGCGACGCCGACGGGCGCGTCGCCCTCGCCGGCGCTGATGGCGCGGCGGATGAAGGCGTCCATGTCCATGGACCCGGCGATGACCATGACGTCGTCGGCGGCGAGCGTGCCGGCCGCGGCGTCGAACGCGGCCGCGGCGTCGTCGCCCGCGGAGAGCGGCTTCTTCTTCTTCGGTCCCGCGCCGTAGGCGCGGTAGGGGCCCGCCGGCGCGCAGTCGTCGCAGTCCACCTCCACGGCGACGACGGCGCCGGAGCCGTCGAAGTCGAGGACCTTGCCCACGAGCGCGCCGGGGCCCGCGGCCCTGTCGTACGCGACGACGGCCGATTCCGCGTCCACGACGAGCCTGGCGTAGTCCTCGGCGGATTTGGCCGTCGCGAGGACGTAGCCCGCGGGCCAGCCCGCCTCCTCCGCGGGTTCTGCCGCGGCCTCGGCCTTGGCGGACGACGACGCCTTCTTCTCCTTCAACGCGAAGCCCTCGAGCCACTCCACGACGGCGCCGCGGTCCTTCAGGTCGCCGTCGTAGGCCGTGAGGGCCTCCCGCGACGTGAAGGCGTCGGCGCCCGCGAGGAGCACGGGCAGCTCGTCGCCGTCGCGGCTGAGCGCGCCGGCGAGGGGCGACGGCTCGTCCGCGACGCGCACCTCGACGACCGAGAGCCGCCCGCGGAACGCGACGCCGATGCTCTTCGCAAGCGCCGACGTCGTCGCCCGCTCCGTAAGGAGCACGGCCAGGGGCGCGCCGGCCTTGGCGAGGGCGCCCTCGGACTCGACGCGCGACACGGCGTCGCCGGGCACGACCTTCGACGAGACCCAGCGCTTGAACGACGTCTTCGAGAAGCCGCTCTCGGTCATGACCTGCTCGAAGGCGACGACGGGCCGGTCGCTCTTGCCCGTGTAGGGGTTTTTGGTGGACGCGCCGCCGAAGCCGAGCACGAGCGGCACCTGCTGTACGTTGAGCCGCTTGGCGACCTTCGCGACGCCGCTCTCCTTGACGTCGACGGCGGCCGCCCTGACGCCCAGCGTCGCGTAGACCTCCTGCGCCGACGCGGCGAAATCGTCGGCCATCATGGGCGACCCCTTGTCCTCGTCGCCGCTCTGGTAGAAGTGGACGACCCACATGGCCGCGTCGTCCTCGAGGATCGCCTTCTCGAAGGCGCTCGACGACGTGAACTCCTGCACGTGGTCGTGGTCCTCGTAGAGCTGCGCGGCGGCCAAGGCCGCGCAGGCGAGCAGTGCGAGGCGGCGCATCGCCATCGTCGATGCGAGCTGCTTCGACGGCGGCGCTGCTTCGACGGCGGCGCGCGACTTCGCACAGCGAGTCCTCCACAAGCCTCCACGCGGAGCTGCAGCACGATGCCGTGGCACACGGCGACGTTGAATGCGATGGGGCAGCCTTCTCCCTGTTCGATGTGCCAGCGCCGCACGACGTGCTTCATTAACATGGGACGCTAACGCTGCAAAGCAGTCGGTGACGAGGAACCATGCTCACGATCATGCAGAAGCAGTCGAAGATGATGGAAGTCGAGCTGAAAAACAAGAAGCAGGCGCTCCTGGAGGCGCGCGCGAGCCTCGAGGCGAAGACCGCGCGCGTCGTCGAGCTCGAGGAGCAGCTCAAGGCGCTGGCGCCGACGGACGAGGAGCGCGCCGAGGAGCAGCAGGTCGTGATCCAACCATCTCGTCTCGTCGTGAGCGTTCGCGACAGGTCGTCGACGAGGAACGGGTCAAGGAGCTGCAGGCGCTGGCGGAGAAGCTCGCGAAGCAGTTGAAGGAGAGCGACGGCAAGCTCACCTACGAGACGCTCCGCGCGAGCGTGCTCAACATGCGCGGTCCCGGCGCCTCCGACGCGCCGCGCCCCCCGACCGCGCGTCCGCTCAGGGAGAAGTGCACGATGAACGCGAAGCACCTCCTCGACCGCCGGAAGATGGAGAAGGTCGCCGAGGCCAAGGACAAGGAGATCAAGCTCCTCCACAAGGAGCTCGACGACCTGCGGAAGGAGCTCCTCGAGCGCAAAAACGTCGAGCTCGACGCGAGCGACGCGGCGGAGCAGGTCTCGCGGCGCGACGAGCAGCTGGAGTTCCTCATGAATGTCCACGACGCGGCGAAGGACGCCGACTGGGTGAGCCCCGCGGGCGCGCCGCGGAACGCGGCCGCGGCGCTCACGGGCGGCTACGACGACCCCGTCGCGTTCCTCGAGGCCCTCGGCGTCGACACGGCGACGGCCATCGCCGTGCTCGAGGCGAACGGCGGCGACGCGTCGCGGGCCGCGGAGAGCCTGTTCGGAGGGCAACCCTAATGCTGTCGCGCGACCGCCGCTATCGCGCGGGCGGCCGCTTCTTCCGCGGCGGTCGTCTCCGCGTCGCCGGCGCGGGGTCCGCCGGCTCGAGGGCGACGACGACGAACATGACGAAGATCAGGAAACAAAGGGCGCCCGCGAGCGCGCCGAAGTAGCGCGGCGACACGGCCTCCTCGCGGTAGACGTTCACGCGGCGCTCGAAGTCGTAGGAGAATGTGGCCGGCTCCATGAACCAGGCGTGTTTTCTCAGGAGCAGGATGACGGCGAGCGACGCGGGCGACAGCACGAGCGCGAGGTACGCGACGCGCGCGGGCCAGTGCGTCGGCGGCTCTTCCGCCGGCGGCGCGTCCGCGTCCGCGTTCGTTTCGTCGTCGCCGCCGCCGCGGCGGACGAAGAAGGCGCGCGGCGCGAGCGGCGGATACGTGCGCGGCGGCGGCGCGCGCCGCTTCGACGTCTTCGGGAGCGTCGGCATGGCGCCCGCCGCGCGGTCGCGGCCGCACGGAGCGCCGGGGCTGCCCGCGCGTCGGGCAGCGCCGCGCCGCTCCGGCCGCGGCGCACGCGGAAAACGGCAAACGCCGACCGCTCGACTCGACCCGGCGACGGTCGACCCGACGGCGCCGGCGCACCGAGGGGCAGCCCGACGGCGCGCTAGCAGCGGACAACTCGACGATTTCACGCCCGGAAACATTCGCTGCAGCGCCAACTTCAGCTTGTGGCAGCCCACCGGAGACAGTTCGAATCGTGATTGCGTTCGCATCGGCCGCGCCGATGGCGGGCATCGAGGCCATCGAGAAGATGACGCAGGGCATGCTCGAGGGGGAGCCCCTGCGGAGCGTCGCGGACCTCGCGGCGTCGGCCCCGGCCTGGGCGCGCGCCTTCGTCGGCGCCGCGGAGCGGCGCGTGCGCGAGCTCGACGAGGCGCTCTGCGGCGCCCGCGAGGACATCAGCAAGCTGCGGCAGCGGGCCGAGACCTTCGTCGCGGAGAACGAGGAGCTGCACCTGCGCCTGACGGAGGCCGTGGGCGCGCGGGGCGACGACGCCGGCGGCGCGGAGGTCCCGGGCCCGCGGGGTTTAGGCGGCGCCGCCGAGGAGCGCGCGCGCGAGATGGGCGAGCGCGTGGAGATCCTCATGGCGGAGAACGCGCTCCTCGTGGAGCAGAGCAGCGTGCTCCAGGGCGAGCTCGACCGCTGCGTCGGCGAGCGCGACGCGACGGCGTCGAGGAACGGCGCGCTCGCGGACGAGCTCGGCGCGTGCCGCGAGCGCCTCGCGGCGCTCGAGGAGGCCGAGGCGAGCCGGCGGGAGGCCCAGGCGGCCCTCGAGGCGCGCTACGTGAAGCACGGCGCCGAGGTCGCGTCCGCGAACTCCCAGCTCGGCGAGCTCAAGGAGGGTTTGGCGGCGCTGCACGGGCAGAACGGCCGCCTCCGCGACGAGCTCGCGGAGAAGGCGCGGGTCTGCGACGAGCTCCGGGGCCGCCTCGAGGCCGACGGCGACGAGCTCTGGTCGCGGGTCCAGGCCGCCGCCGCGCGCTGCCGCGAGCTCCAGGAGGAGCTGTCCGCGCGGACGCAGCTCTGCGACCTCGAGGGCGAGCGCGCGCGGCGCGCGGCGCGCGACCTCGAGACCGTGCGCCAGGACAACGCGGGCATGCTCCGGGTCATGGGCGGCATGGAGAAGCAGCTCGCGGCCTACGCGGCGCGCGAGGAGTCCGTCGCGGCCGTCGGCCGCGAGGCCCGGGAGAAGGCCGAGAACGCCTTGCTCGCGCGCGACAAGGCGCAGGCGCGGAGCGACCAGGCCGCGCGCGAGCTCGAGCGGCTGCGCGCCGAGCGCGTCGCCGAGGCGGAGCACCTCGCCGCACAAATCCGCGAGGCCGTGGACCGCGAGCGGGCCCGCGGCGCGCAGTCCGTCGACGACCGCGAGCGCGAGTTGCGCGGCCGCGACGAGGCCATGGCCGAGGCCGAGGCGCGCGCGGAGCGCGCGGGCCGCGACGCCGACGCCGCGCGGCGCGCCGAGGCCGCCGCCGCGCGCGCCCTCCGGTCCGCGGACGCCGCCGCGGAGGACGCGGTCGCGCAGCTCGAGAAGCGGCGCGCCGACGCGGAGCGGCGCGCCGCGGACGCGGAGGCGCGCGCCAAGGGCGCGGAGGCCCGGCTCCGGGAGGCCCTGGCGGCCCGCGACGCCGCCACCACGGACGCGGCGGACGTCGACGACGCGGAGCACCGCGGCGCGGCCGCCGAGGCCGCGGCCGCGCGGGAGAAGTGTAGGGAGCTCGCCGCGCAGCTCCACGCCCGAGACCGCGAGCTCGCGCGCCACGCCAAGGACCTCGACGAGGCGCGGACGTCGCGGTCCCGCGAGGCGAGCGAGGCGCGCGCGGCCCACGACGCGGAGAAGCGCAAGCTCGAGGAGGCGCTCGCCGCCGCGCGCCGCGCCGCGGACCACGCGGCGCACCAGTTCGCGGCCGCCGTCGACCGCCACCGGGGCCAGCTCCTCAAGCTCGGCGCGGACCGCGACGCCGCCGTGTCCGACGCGAACGCGCGCCTCGCCGACGAGCACGCCACGGTCGTCAAGCTCGCGGACTACGAGCGCCAGCTCGAGGTCCGGCTCGCGGCGGCCCTCGCGGACCACGAGGCCCAGAAGGACCACGCGCTCCACCTCGCGGAGCGGTGCCAGGTCGCGGAGCGCCGCGCCGCCGACGCGGCGCTGGCCCTCTCCAAGTCCATCGCCGAGCAGGACCTCCTCATCAAGCGCGCGAACCGCGCCGCGGCCGTGCCCGTCGCGTGAGGACGGGGTAACGCCGCATGCACCATCGCTAGCGTTTACGCCGCCCCGTCGATGCCCAGGTGGGCGAGGATGGCCTTGACGTCGCGCTTGAGCTCCGCGAGGTCCGCCGACGCGGCCGCCGCGTCCGGCGGGTCCGAGAGCGACGGCGGCCGCGACGCGAAGGACGCGTCCCGCCGGTGGAGCGCCGGGTCGTGGAGCCGGTCGCGCCAGTCGGGCGCGAGCGCCACGGCGCACCCGTCGTCGCCGGCGGCGTCGAGGAGCCAGGCGAGGTCGCAGTCCTGCAGGATCTCGCAGACCTCAACGCGCGCGCACCGCGCGTTGAGGAGCCGGTCGACGAACATGATCGTGAGCCGCCGCCGCACGCGCGGCTCGAGGTGGAGCGCGTGCTCGATGGACGCCTGCGTGAGCGACAGGAGCGACGTCGTCGTGCAGGCCACCGTGTCCTCGATGCGCCGCGGGTAGCCCAGGATCGCCGCCTCGCCGAAGACCTGGCCGTCCGCGAGGTCGACGGTGCGCAGCGTCATCGACGCGCGGCGCGAGCCGCGCTTGCCGCCGCCGCTCGGCCGGTGGCCCGCGGGCGCCGCGGGCGCCTTGGGCGGGGGCTTCTTACCGAGGAAGCTCCAGCGGCCCGGCGCGTCGGCCGCGGCCGCGGCCTCCGGCGGCCGCGCCTCCGAGACCGTCGCGCGGCCCATGAACGAGTCGTCGGAATCGTGGCCGCCGGGCTCCTCCCAGGGCGCGGCCGACTCCGTGTAGCGCATGGCGACGTCGCCCTTGCTGATGATGTACATGCCCTCCTCGGCGACGTCGCCCTTGTCGTAGACGTGGTCGCCGACGGGGAACGTGATGGGGCAGAGCGCGATGCAGATGTGGTTCACGAAGCGCTCGCGGCAGCCGCTGAAGATGGGCGCCACGAGGATCGTGTCGCGGTACCTACCGCGCACGTCGGTGACGATGTTTCATCGTCTTCCCACCCGAAAATGGTCGCGGCCGCGGGACGCCGACGGTCGCAGATAGTCGTAGATTTCGACCCGCAGCTGCTTGGGCAGCGCGCCGAGCATGTCGCGGTCCACGTACTGGCGCGAGTTCTGCTTCCGGACCTGCGTGGGTGCGTCGGTGACGAGTTTTGTTGTTTTCCCGCCCCACATCTCTCGAACATCGTCGCGGCCGCGGGACGCCGTTCCGGACGTGCTGGAGCACGTGGCGCGACACGGCGAGGGGGATGTTGTTCGCGCGGAGGTAGCCCATGATCGCCGAGACGAGCTCCTGGTGCTGCCGCTCGTGCGTCTCGGGAGACAGCGCGTTGAAGACGGACGTGATGAGGTGGCCGAACATGATGCCGCCTGTGGACGGGTCTTTTCATGAAACCGGGGCCACGTAGTTCCGCGACGCGGGCCGCCCCGCCGATGGCCATGCACAGGATCGAGAAGATCTGCGAGTTGATCGTCGTGTCCTGGAGGTCCCCGTAGCCGACGGTCGTGATCGTCTGCATGGCCCAGTAGACGGACGTGACGTAGCGCTCGAGCACCGTGACCTCGCCGCGTGTGAACTTGAAGACGAGCGCGTAGCAGCACCTACCGTCGTGGGTCGCGTTCCAAACGCGCTCGAAAGAAAGACGCACCCCATCCAGTGGCTCGCGTAGACCAGCACGAAGACGAGCTTGCCGCCCTGGAGGAAGCCCATGACGTACATCATCTCGTCCTCGTACTTCTCGAACAAGCGGCTCAGCCGCGCCAGGCGCACGAGCTTGAGCAGGCGGAAGATGCGCAGCAGCTTCACGAGCCGCAACGCCGAGCCGCTCGTCTCGCGCGCGCCGCCGCCGCCCGCGAAGCCCCGGCCGCAGCCCAGCGGCGGCGCCAGGTTGCATTTGAGCTCCTTGAAGCCGTACATCTTGATGCTGTAGGCGTAGCCCACGGGCAGGCACGCCACGAGGTCCAGGAGGAACCACGTCCGCGCGTAGTGCCACGCGATGCCCGCGCCTGGGCGGGACACGAGTGATGCAACATCGCTTCAACGTGAGTGTTCCGCGCGCGCTCGTTCCCGGAAGAGCGTCCACGCTTCGAGACCGTTCCGAGAGATGATCGCTCGTCCCAAAATCAGCCAAAACGAGCGGAAAACGACCGAGAGAGGATCCTTTGAAGTTCGGAAGTTCGCACTCGTTTCCTGCCCCGGCCCGCGCGGTCCGTGACCATCGTCAGCTCGAAGCCCTTGCGGATGTGCACGACCGTCAAAAAGTTCACGACGATGTCGAGCCAGAAATAGACGTCGATGAGCAGCTCCAGCCAGAGGAAGAGCCCCAGCGCGGGCCACTCGAAGGCCACGCGTACGGGCACCATCGTCGCGACGTACGCCAAGAAGAACACCTGCGCGACGTCCCAGCGCACGTGCAGCTTCGAGTCCGGCTGGACGAGGGGCGGCGCCGGGAGCAGGCCGAAGCAGCACCGCTCGCCGCGCCGCCGCGCCGACGGGCTCTCGTTCGCCGCCTCGCGCTCGAGGACCATCCTCACGTCCTCCATGGGGCTGTCGAAGAGCCCCACGTCGGACCGCTCGCGGTCGATGTAGATGGACCGGCGCATGCGCTGGTCGATGAGCGTCGCCGAGAAGGTCTCCGTGCGCAGGCGCGACGGCTCCCGCGCAAAGTTGGTGTCGAGGTACTTGGCGCTCTGCTGCTGGCCGAAGGCCCGGAGCGACGCGCGCTTGTCCTCGGCCGGCGGCTCGGCCGGCGCCGCGAAGGCGACCTTCGGTTTCGCGGGCGCGTCGTCGTCCACCGCGGCGGCGGCCGCGTCGTCCACCGCGGCCGCTGCCTCCGCGTCGTCCGGCGCCAGCGCGACGGCCGCCGCGGGCGCGTCGACGAGCGCTTCCTCGTCGGAGGACGAGTCCGCGAGCACCGCCTTGAACATCTGCCCTGCCAGGGAGTTCGCCCGCTTGGCGCGCACCTCCGGCTCGCCCATGCTATCAGGATAGGTCCCGAAGGGCTGCCATCCTTTGGCTCGCAGAAAGAAGTCGGGTGTTACACTGCATCTTGCTGATGTTAACACGACTAGCGCGGTCGGTAATGGAGGCGTAGTCCGCGGGTGGCTGCCCGTCGAGGCGCGACGCGATGAGCGCGAACGAGCCCAAGACCATGGCGCAGTCGTCCATGTTCTCCACGGGCGGGACGATCATGACGGCGGCCCCGGCCGAGGAGGCGCCGGCGTCGCCGAGTCGGGCGTCGAAGGCCGGCGGCGAGCGGTCCGGGACGCAGTCGAGCAGCCGGCAGACGGGGAGCGACGCCAAGGTCTCCGTGGCGTCCTGCGAGCGCCTCATCCTGACGAAGCAGCACGAGATCGACATGCTGTCGAACCAGAACGAGCAGCTCCGGCTCTCGCTCGACAAGCTCGAGCGCGAGCTCGGCGACCTCGCGAACGCGCTCGCGGCCAAGGACAAGCTGCTGCGCGCGGCCCAGCGCAAGATCGACGACCGCGAGCACGAGCTCCGCCAGCTCGGCGTCGTCCAGTCCCAGAGCGACGGCAAGGACGAGGCCATGAAGATCGCCGCGATGCAGAACCGGTCCATCCTCCAGATCCTCCAGGAGGCGAACCTGAAGTGCGAGAACCTGGAGCGCGAGAACCGCACGCAGAAGGCCGAGCTCCAGCGCGTCGTCTTCTTCAACGAGAAGCGCATGCAGCGGTCCGTCGCCCAGAACGAGCGGCTCCGGACGTCGCTGAAGTTCGCGCAGAAAGAAATTACCGTGAACATGCTCGCGAAGATGGCGAGCGGCACGCGCGCGGACAAGGCGGAAGCCGCCGCCAAGGAGGCCAGGGTGAAGGCCGAGGCCGAGATCGCCGTCCACGAGACCGAGCTCGCGTCGCGGCGCTTCAAGCAGTACCTGCTCACGGACGAGCTCCAGAAGAAGAGCGACCTCGCGTCGCGCCTGCAGGACGACATCGCCGCGACGCGCGAGGACCACGCGAACGAGGTGGAGCGCGCCGACGAGCTCGAGGCGCGTTTGACGGCCGCCGTCCACGATTTAGACGTGACCGAGGAGCAGCTCCGAGGTTTGCGCGACCGCGCCTTGGCCGAGGAGGCGCGCGCCGCGTCCGCGGAGGCCGCCAACGACCTGACGAACCTCCGGTCCGAGGCGCTGCGGCTCGCCCTCGAGGCGACCATCGACGAGCGGCGCGCCGTGCGCGAGAAGCAGGCGAGGGTCCGCGAGTCGGAGAAGGCCGCGCACGCCGCGTCCGCGGCGGCCGAGGCCGCGGCCGAGCGGTCCCTCGCGCGCCACTTCGCGACGGTCGACCGCGTCAAGGCCCAGAAGAAGCACATCGACCGCCTCGACGCCCAGCTCGGCAACGCGAGGACCCTCATCGAGAAGGGGCGCAAGCGCATCGTCGACGAGCTCAACGACCCGAACCGGCGCAAGGCGTCCGTCTTCCACCAGCCCCAGGCGTCGACCGTGTCCTCGCTCACGGACCACGACCGGCGGAAGAAGAAGGCGCCGCCGCCGCGCATGCCGAAGATAGCGGCGCCGGGGAAAGGTAAGACGTAGCGCGGTTGTGTGAAGCCAATATTGCAGCCACGGAGCAGCTCGAGGAGCTCCGGCCGACAGCCGGGCCGCACTCGCGCCTGCGCCCGCGCCGCCGCGCGACTCGGTGACGTCGCCCGACATCCATTCGGTGATGCAGAATCTCCCTGCCGACGCTCTTCAATTGGTGTTGACATTCGCTTGCGATCAGGACGCCGCCTTCAAGCGGCGCTTCTCCGTGAACCACTCGTGGCTTGAAGCGCACCATGGCGCGCCTGAACTCTGGCAGAATCTGGTTCTGGTTACCAAGAACCGGAAAACATCGGACCCGCGTCTCCGCTGCCTCTACTCCGCATGGGCGCACGCGCCGGCCGCGGTGCGGGCGGCGGCCGAACGACACACGCGCGACATCATGCTTAGAAGCAATGGTGGTCCGGGTCGTTGGTACTCTTTGGGCGCTGGCTTAGCGGGAATGCAATTTCAGCGGTTGGAAATGGTGAAGCTATGTACGTATGGGCAATCCTCACAATCACGCGACGAGGACACGGCCGCTCTCGCTCCACTTTTTGACTCGTTGGGCCTCGAGCTGCGAGGGCACAACTCCTGCCGGGCAGGGGGAAGGAACGAGTCCGATGAATACCGGGAACAGCTGCAACTTGATGCCGGCGACGAGAACTTCGACCCCGGCAATATTACTCCTGGCCGCTGGTGCGGCTCGCTTCTTGACCAGCGAAATATGTCACTACTCACACGGCTGTTTCACAAAGTCCAGCGCTTGAAACTGCCTGTTTTCGAAGTGAACTTGCTCCCCATCGGGGAAGACCTCGATATTCTTTGTCTAGATTACTTGGGCCGCTTCCTCCTCGCCGGCAATGACGAAGCCGAGTTCAAAAGCGCGGCCGTCGTAGACGAGGAGACGGCAGGCCGGCTGGTCGAAATCATGGGATTACGAATGTCAAAATCGGGCCTAATGCTGCCCGAGAATGTCCCGCTCCTTCCTAACCTGAAGCAGCTCTGTTTCAATGATAGCTCATTCCCGCTCCCTGAAATGGCTTCCTTCTTGAGAAACTTGTCAACCGCATGTCCGTCCCTTGAGATGCTGATCTGCAATGTCGATACAGAGCATGAAACTTGGTGGCAGCCGGAGAATTACGCCGTCTTCGCGCTCTTGCCTCGCACGCTCGTCGCGCTCGTCCTCGTCTTGGAAGATTTGACGCTCCCGCAACCATCGACGGCATCGGCTTTCGTCCGTCGGATCGAAGCGCACGTGCCCTGGTGCGGCGTCCACGTCGTGACGACGCGGCCCAGAACAAGCGATGACATCCTTATCAACCTCGATGACGACGGCATTCTACCGAAGCCCCCGTGGGACGTCTTCCCGGACTTCGGAGAGACGTATAGCCCCGAGGTCCTCCGCAGGAGCACCTTCCACCTTTGGGATTAAATTACGCATTAATCAGCGGCCGCGCCGTGTCCAGCGTGTCCCCGCCGAGGGCGTCGGCGCCGAGCGAGGGCCGCGGGCCGTCGCCCTTGGCCCCCAGGACGAGCCGGGGCCCGCACGCGCCCTCGAAGAGCCCGATCGCCGCGACGGACCCGCCGGCGATCCAGAGGAACGTCGAGAGCTTCATCGCGGCCGACGGCGCGCACAGGCTCAGGCCGGCGACGACGAGCGAGTCGACGACCATGATGAAGGCCGCCGTGAAGCCGAAGACGCGGCCCGGCGCGTCGCTCGCGGTCGCCATGTGCTGCAGGAGCGTCGCGAAGCCGATCTTCGGCATGGTCATCAACAGAAAGAAGCCGAACGTCGCGAGGCAGATCAGGGCGTAGGTGCCGTCGCGGCCGAGGCCCGGGACGGCGCCGAGGGCCACCGCGGGCACTCCGAGGAACGACAGCCCGCCGAGCAGCGACGACTTGAAGAGCTTCCGGTAGTGCGCGTCGCCCTGGGCCTGGTGCTCCGCCGCGCGCGCGTGCATGACGACGCCGGCCAAGACGCCGCCGATCTTGCCGACGGCGACGATGACCGACAGGTACGCGCCGCCGCGCAGCCGCCACTCGCCGTCGCAGTGTTCCGCGTACGCCGCGCCCGTCGTCGCGATGCCGTGCGGGTGGCAGGCGAGCTCGTTGGCGAGGGCCGGCAAGACCACGGCGACGACGGCGTCCTCGACGGCCGTGTCGATGGCCAGGAAGAAGACGCGCCACAGAAGCCTCCCGTCGAGCGACGCCACGTAGGACGCGTCCGACGGCAGGGCCCGGAGCGCCCCGCCCATCTGGCGCAGGAGGCCGCCCTTCGCCGGCGGCTCGTCGCTATTTGGTGTGCGCGCGGGCGCCGCCGCGCCGACGACGCCGTAGAGCGCGACCGCGACGCCGAAGGAGACGACCATGACGGCCCCCAGGGCGCCGAGGAGCGCGAGGCTCTGGTTCGGCAGGTCGCCGGACGTCGTCGCGGCGACGTAGAGCGCCACGGCGACGGCCGGCGCGCCGACGACCATGGACCCGTCGAGGAAGAGCTGGTGCAACGCGTTGAATTGGTCGCGGAGCTCGTCGGTGACGGCCGCGCCGAGGCCGAGGCGCGCGGCGATGAGGTCCGTGCCGCCGCAGTCGATGGACGCCACGTTGACCAAGGCGACGAAGACGCCGTCGGCGGCCATGAGCGCGAAGAACGACGGCGCGAAGACGTAGTCTACGCGATCGTACTGCCGCACGAAAGCCCACAAAAGCGGCGCGGCCGCGTAGACGACGACGCGCCCGAGGGACGACCAGGTGAGGAGCCGCAGCGCGTCGCCGCGCTCCACGGCGCCGCCGGCCACGGGGCTCACGACGAAGAGCGCCGCGTTGTAGGCGATGCGCGCGCCGCCGACGCCCTTGGGGCCGATGGTCGCGAGGATGGCGGGGCTGAGCAGCACCCACCACACGCCGAAGCCGACGGCGCTCAGCAGCTGCGCGTCGCGGTAGCGCCGCAGCGGTCCGGGGACGTCGGCGCCCATGCTCTCGATGTCGATGGCGGGGCAGCCGGGCAAATCGGTTTCATTCCCCTTCAATAACTAGTCCAACATAGGGCAGCCTTCTTCTGGAGCCGTCGCGATGGATGCGACGCTGCCCGACGAGTCGCCGACGCCCTAGAGCCAGGGCGATATGGCCGACGAGTCGCCGGCGCCGACGCCCCAGGACTCGCCCATGGAGCACGTCATCAAGCGCTGCGGCATCCTGCTCCCCGAGCGCACGTCCTTCCCGCTCGCCGCGCGCAACTGCGTGAAGAAGGGCGCCATGCGCAAGGGCGGCAAGCACCTCGGCTGGAACTTCAAGCAGCGCGTCTGCGTGCTCGCGCCGCCCTGGCTGCTCTGGTACGTCGACGAGAAGTCGCCGGCGCCGTCGGGCTTCGCGCACCTGGACACGGTCCGCGGCGTCGCCGTCGAGTCGCGGTCGGGCTCGGGCCGCCGGGGCGTCTGCGTCGTCGTCGAGGTCGCCGACGGCACGCGGCGGAGCGGGCTGCGCTTCGTCTGCCGCGACGGCGGCGAGGCCAACGGCTGGCGGCGGGCCATCGAGCACGCGCTCGGCGGCGGCGGCGGCGCCGCGGCGGCGGCCGCGAGCCTCCAGGCGTCGCTGCCCGGCGGCCTCGTGAAGCAGGCGACGCCCCTCGTCTTCGACGCCGCGGCCCACGAGGAGACGGCGGCGGCGGAGGCGCGCATGCTCCGGGCCGACGGCGTCCGCGACGACCGGCCGCGCGCGCCGTCCGTCCGCGACGGCTCCGTCGAGGCGGGCCGGTTCCGCGGCGCGACGCTCCTCGGCGGCCGCGAGCGGTCGCCGCCGCCGCCGTCGCCCGTCGCCGGGTCCCTCGGCGAGAGCCCGGACGCGGGGTCGTTAGGGACGTCGCCGTCGCTCCCGGGCCGCCGGCTCGGCGCGTCGCCGGGCTCGCTCGCCAAGGTCGCCGGGTCGCTCCAGGAGTTCCTCCCCCTGACGCGCGCGCGGAGCTTCCCGGACCAGCGCCTGCGGCGGTCGTCGGAGCCGGAGACGCCGCGGCGCGCGGCCGCGGCGCCGCGCCTGCCCGTCGCGGGCCCCCAGAAGCTCGTGCTCGACCTCGTCGCCGCCAAGGCGCGGGGCGCCGCGCCGCCGACGCTCGCCCTCGCGTCGCCCATCGTCCTCCGCCTCCGCGCGGACGCGCACGCGCGGACGATCCAGCGGAGCCTCGAGGTGCTCATCCAGCGCCACCCGGCGCTGCGCTGCGCCTACGACGCCGAGAGCGGCACGCGCGAGGTGCGCCGCGCGGGCGACGTGCCGAGCGCCTGGCGCCGCGTGCGCTGGACGTCGACGGACAGCGACGAGCTCCGCGCGGCCGTCAAGGAGGCGCTCGACGACGGCGCGATGGACGTGGGCCGGGGCCAGCTCCTGCGCGCGACGCTCCTCGACATCGGCGTCCAGAGCGAGCACGACGCCGACGGCCGCGCGCCGTCGCGCGCGGGCCGGGGCAGCCTGTTGCTGCTGTGCGTGCACCGCCTCGCCGCGGACGTCGGCGAGCTCATGGCCCTCTTGGACGACTGGCGCCGCGTGTCGGCCATCCTCGTGGACCCGAAGAAGGGCCGGCGCGCGCGCCTGCTCACGGCCGGCGACGGGTCGCCCGTCGTCGACTTCTGCGAGTGGCGCCGCGCGCACAACCGCGGCGGCGCGGCCGCGGAGCGCGCGGCCGCGTACTGGGACCGCGAGCTCGGCGGCCTGCGCCTGGACGAGCTGAGTTTGGACGGCGTCGCGGACCGGCCCGCGCCGCCGCCGGGCCGGGAGACGCGGCGGGCGCGGGTCGTGCCCTTTGCCGTGGACGCGGGCGTCGTCGCGGAGTTTTACGCCGCGTGCCGCCGCGCGGAGGGCGCGGACACGTTCGTGTCGCTGCTGGCGGTCTACGCGACGCTGCTGGGCAAGTACGAGCGCTACGGCTCGAGCGACGGCGCCAAGGGCGACCTGAGCGACGTCGTCGTGTCCATCCTGGTCGGCCACGAGAACGACCTGGGCCTCGACTTCGTCGTCGGCGACGCGGCGTCGTGGATCCCCGTGCGCGTGCGCCTGAGCGGCTGCCGCACGTTCCGCGACGCGCTGGCGGCGACGCGCAAGGCCGTCGACGGCGCCCTGGCCCACAAGGACCACGTGCCCGAGGCCGTGCTGCTGAGCGACGCGATGCGCGGCGCGCGCTTCGAGACGGCCTCGAAGGCGAGCCGCTGGTCCGGCACGGAGCTCTGGACGGAGACGGCCCTGGGCCTCGGCGACGCGCACCAGCGAGCGCTCGGGCGGGCGCCGAAGAAGCTCGTCGACGTCGGCGGCGTGCCCCTGGAGCCGCTGCCGCCGCCCGCGGAGCGCGCGGGCTTCGCGGACAGCGGTCTGACGCTGTGGCTCTGCGAGGACCCGGCGCCCTTCGCGCGGAGCGCGGCGGGGTCGAAGAAGCGCGTCATGAAGCACGCCGGCGCCGTGCGCTACGCCGTGGACCGCTACGACCGCGCGACGGCCGAACGCGCGTGCGACCACTTCAAGAAGCTCCTCGAAAGCTGCCTGGGCGCGCTGAAGCACCACGATGCCCTCGACGCCTGCTCCTTCGTCACGGACGGCGAGACGCGTCTGGTGGCCCAGTGGAACGCGACGGACACGGGCGACGCGCACGCGGGCGCGGTCCACGGCCGCGGCGTCCACGACTTCGCGTTCTCGGAGACGGCGCGCGACGCCCCGTCGTCGCCGGCCCTCGAGTTCGAGGCCAAGGACAAAGCCGTGGCGCGCGTCGCCTACGGGGATTTAGAGCGGCTGAGCGGCGTCCTGGCCGCGTTCCTCGTCGCGCTCGACGGCGCGTCGCTCCGGCCGCCGCCCGCGGCCGTCTGCGCGCCGCGCGACGCGCCCGCGGCCTTTGTCGGTATCCTCGGCGTGCTCCGCGCCGCGCGCGCCTACGTGCCCCTCGACGCGTCCTACCCCCTCGAGCGCCTGCGCTACATGCTCGACGCGTCGAAGGCGTCCGTGCTCGTCGCGACGCGGGGCCTCGCGGACGCGGTCGCGGGCGCGCGCGACGACGAAGACGCGGCGCTCGTCGCTTTGGTCGACGACGGCGGGGCGCTGTCCACGCCGCCGCCCTCGCGGTCGAGGGCCAGCGGCTTCGAGGAGCTGCCCGCGGGCCCCTGGGGGCCGCGGCCCGCGTACGTGATTTTCACGTCCGGCTCCACGGGAAAGCCCAAGGGCGTCGTCCTCCCCCACCGCGCCCTCGTCAATTTAGTGCGGTGGCAGACGACGCGGCCGGGCTTCGAGCCCTGCAGGACGCTCCAGTTCGCGCCGCTGTCCTTCGACGTCCACGCGCAGGAGCTCTTCGTGACGTGGCGGTCCGGCGCGGCCGTCGTCCTCTGCCCGGACGCGACGCGGCGCGACTTCGCCGGGCTGCTGGCGCTCATCTCCCGGCGCGGTGTCGAGCGCCTCTTCGCGCCCTTCGTGGCCCTCGCGGGTCTCGCGGACGCGTGGCGCGACGAGCCGACGGCCGTTGCCCTCAAGGAGGTCGTCTCCGCGGGCGAGCGGCTCCAGGTGACGCCGGGCATCGCCACCTTTTTGCGGGCCTGCGGAACCGGCGCGACGCTCTGGAACCACTACGGCCCGTCCGAGAGCCACGTCTGCACCGCGCACGAGCTCCGGGCGGGCGCGGCCTGGCCGACGCTGCCGGCCATCGGCGCGCCCGTGGACAACACGAAGATCTACGTGCTCGACAAGGCGCGCGAGCCCTGCGGCGTCGGCGTCCGCGGCGAGATCTTCATCGGGGGCACGTGCCTCGCCAGGGGCTACGTCGGCGCGTCGCCGGACGCCGACGCGCGGTTCCGATGCGACGGCGCCGCGCGGCTCTACGCGTCGGGCGACGTGGGGCGGTGGCTCCCCGGCGGCGTCATCGAGTGCGTCGGGCGCCTCGACGACCAGGTCAAGGTCCGCGGCTTCCGCGTCGAATTGGGCGACGTCGAGGCCGCGCTAGCCGCGCACGGCGCGCTCCGGGCCGTCGCGGCGACGGTCGTCGACGCGGGCGACGGGGCCGTCAAGGAGAAGGTCCTCGTGGCCTTTGCGGTCGTCGACGAGGACGAGCTGGAGAGTCTCCGGCGCGACGGCGGCGCGCGCGGCGTCGCGGCGAACGCGCTGCCGGCGTACATGGTCCCGTCGCGCGTGCTCCGCGTCGCCGCGTTGCCGCTGACGCCGAGCGGCAAGCTCGACCGCGGGCGCCTGCCGCCCGTCGAGGACTGCGACGACGTCGACGCGCGCGACGGCGCGGCGCCGCGCGCGACGTACGCGGACGCCGTCGAGGCCGCGGTCGCCGCGGCCTTCGAGCGGGCGCTGCTGCTCAAGTCGGGCAGCGCGCGGGCCGGCGACGTCTTCGCGGAGCTCGGGGGCACGTCCCTCGCCGCCGCGCGCGTCGCGTCCGCGCTGCGGCTCGCGGTGCCCGACCTCGCCAGGGGCGCGAACCTCGCGGACGCGTTGCTCCGGGGCAGCGCGTCCGTGCGCTCCGTGGCGCGCGCGCTGCGCAAGGGCCAGGCGGCGCCGCCGGCGGGGAGCCTCGCCACGGCCCTCCTCGAGGAGGCCGCGGGCGACGACGGCGACGACGACGACGCCGGCCCCGCGCTCCCGCGCTTCGACGCGGCGCCGCGCGCCGGCCGGCGGCCGCCGACGCGGTCCGAGGAGGCCTTCTGGCTCGAGCGGGACCGGTCCGGCCCGGGCCGCGCGTCGCTCTACGCCGTGCCCGTGTGCGCGTGGCTCCGGCCCGACGCGGACGCCGCCCGGCTCGAGGCCGCGGTGAAGGCCGTCGTGCGCGCGCGCGAGGCGCTGCGCACGCGCTACGTCGAGGAGGACGGCGAGCGCTACGCCGAGCCGTTGGACGGCGACGCCGCGGCGTCCGCGTGCTGGTCCGCGACGGAGAGCGACGACGCCGCGGCCGCCGTCGCCGCCGCCGCGGCGCGGACGCCGGAGCCCTTCGACGGCGACGGTCCGCTGGTCTTCGCGACGCTCGTGACGAGCGGCGGCGTGCCGCGGGCCCTCGCCCTCGTCTTCCACCACGTCGCCGTCGACCTCTGGGCCCTGGAGATTTTGCTCCGCGACGTCGCGGACGCGTACGGCGGCGACGCGGTGAGGCCGGAGACCCCGGGCCTGCTCGGCGCCGTCGCCGCGTGGCAGCGGGGGCCCTACGCGTCGAGCCCGCGGCGCGACGCGGCCGTGGCCTTCTGGCGCGACGCGTTCTCGCGCGGCGACGGCGGCGCGGCGACGGCCCTCGACGTGTCCACGGACCGGCCGCGGCCGAAGAGGCCCACGTTCCGCGCGGGCTGCGCCGCGGCGGCCCTCGACGACGCCCTCGTCCGCGCCGTCGCCTTTGGGGCGCGCCAGTGGCGCGTGTCGCCGCTCTGCGTCTACGCGTCGCTCTGGGCCGCGACGCTCGGCCGCTTCGCGAGCCAGCGCGACGTCGTCGTCGGCGTGCCCGGCGCGAACCGCGACGGCCTCGGGGGCGCCGGCGACGACCTCGTGGCCTGCTGCGTGAACAGCCTGCCGCTCCACGTGCGCCTCGAGGACGGCGCGGACGGGCCGCTGACGCTCGCGGCGCTCTGCCGGCGCGTCGGCGGCGCGCTCGAGGCCGCGCGGCGCCACGGCGCGCTGCCCTTCGCGGACGTCGCGCGCGAGCACGCCGCCTGCCGCGGCGCCGGCGACGGGTCGCGCCACGCCGTCTTCCAGACCATGTTCGCGCTCCACGAGACGCCCCTGGGCGACGACGGCGCGCTCGCGCGCGTGCTCGCGGGCGCGACGGCGCCGTCGGCGGGCGCCGACGCGGGCGACGGGGCCTGGTGGGAGCGCCGGGGCCTCGCGCTGAAACCCCTGGCGCTCCCCGCGTCGCGCCGCAGCTGCCCCTTCGACGCGACGCTCACCGTCGTCGTCGGCGGCGGCGGCGCCGCGCGGTGCGAGCTCCTCTACGCGGCGGACCTCTTCGACGCGGCGACGGGCGACCGGCTCCTGAGAGCCTTCGCGAACCTCGTCGCGTCGAGCGTCGCCGACGTCGACGCGCCCCTCTTCGACTTCCCGCTGCTGGGGCCCGCGGACGAGCGAGCGGCGCGCGACCTCGGCGTCGGCGCGGACGCCGCGCCCTCCCGGCCGGGCGTCGCCCGTTTGCTGGACGCGCACGTGCTCTACGCGGCGTCGGCGCACGCGGGCCGCGTGGCGCTGCGGCGCCTCAAGTCGCAGGAGCCGCCGGAGATGGAGGAGCTCACGTACGGCGAGCTCGCAGCTCGCGCGTCGTCGCTCCGCGACGCGTGGGCCGCCGCGGCGCCGGGCGACGCCTGCGTCGCCGTCTGCTGCCGCCGGGGCCCGCTCGTCGTCGTGGCCTTCCTGGGCGCGGCCCTGGGCAAGCGGCCCTACGTGCCCATCGACGTCAAGGTGCCGCGCGCGCGGAAGACGACGGTGGTCTTGCAGTCGAGGGCGGCGATCCTCGTGCTCGACGACGCGCGCGGCGAGGCCTTCGTGACGCTCGGCGACGAGGTCGGCGGCGCGGGCATGTGGCGCGCGACGCTGGCCGACGACGAAGACGAGCGCGCGGTCGTCGCCGTCGCGGGCGGCCTCGGCGGGTCGCTCTGGGGCGCCCACGGCGCGTGCCGCGGCCACGCCGCGCCGCGGAAGATCGCCAGGGCCGCGGCCGTCGCGCACGACGACGGCGCGGATCCCGTGCTGAACATCATTTTCACGAGCGGGTCCACGGGCACGCCCAAGGGCGTCTTGGTGCCCCACGGCGGACTGGTGGCGTTGTGCTGGAACCTGGCGACGAAGGTCTACGGCGACCCCTGCGGCTGCGAGGACGTCTTCGCCCAGGTGGCGGGCGCGGCCTTTGACGCCTTTGGGTTCGAGGTCTGGCCGGGCCTCTTCGTGGGCGCGGCGGTCGACTTCGCGCCCGAGGCCGCCAAGGTCGACCCCGGCGCGCTCTGCGCGTGGCTCCGGCGGTCGCGCGTGACCGTGGCCTTCGTGCCGACGGCGCTCCTGGAGCTCGTGCTGAAGCTGGAGAAGGGCCGGGGCTTCGACTCGTGCCCGGCGCTGCGGACCGCGCACACGGGCGGCGACGCGCTGCACCGGGGGCTGCCGGACCACCTCCTGGGGTCCCTCAAGTTGCTCAACGAGTACGGCCCGACGGAGGCGACGATCGCCTGCGCGGCCTTTAACGTGGGCGGCGGCCTCGACGCGCCGCCCATCGGGAAACCGCTCGCGCTCCGGCGCCTGTTCGTCGTCGACACGGCGAACGGCAAGACGCTGTGCCCCGTGGGCGTGCCCGGCGAGCTCTTCGTGGGCGGCGTCGGCGTCGCCCGGGGCTACCTGGACCGCGAGGATCTGACGAGCGCCAAGTTCGTCGACCTCGACGTCGGCGGCGCCGCGGAGCGGTGCTACCGCACGGGCGACCTCGTGCGGTGGCGCGGCGACGGCAACCTCGTTTTCTTACGGCGCCTGGACTCCCAGGTGCAGATCCGGGGCTTCCGCGTCGAGCTCGGCGAGGTCGCGGCGGCGCTCGGCGCGCGGCCGGACGTCGCCGCGGCGCACGTCGCGCTCGCGGTGCCCGACGCGGACGACGCGACGTCCGCGTTCCTCGTCGCCTACGTCGTGCCCGCGGACCTCGTCAAGAAGCTGTCGGTCCGCAAGCTCCGCGCCGCGGCGGCGGACGCCCTGCCGAGCTACGCCGTGCCCGCGCGCTACGTGTTGCTCGACGAGCTCCCGTACACGCCGAACGGGAAAGTAGACGCCAAGGCCCTGCCCGACGTCACGACGGCGACCTGCGGCGACTTCGAGGCGTCCGACGGCGTCGGCGACCAGCCCCGGGGCGAGTTCGAGGAGATCGTCGCCGAGCTCATCGCCCAGGTTCTAGGATCGTCGTACGTGCCCGCGTCCGCGTCGTTCTTCGATCTCGGAGGCCACAGCTTGGCGGCGACGCAGCTCGCGGCGAAACTCCGCAGCGCCTTCGACGTCGACGTGCCCCTGTCGAAGATCTTCGACGCGCCGACGGCGCGCGCGCTCGCCGCGTTCCTCGAGGCCGCGAGCGCGGGCCCGCGCGGCGACGCCGCGGACGAGGCCGCCGCGATCGCGAGCGCCTTCGACGCCTTCCCCGGCGACGCCTGGGCGGAGGCCTCGGGCCCCCACCCGCTGAGCTACAACCAGCTCAGCATGTACCTGTCGTGGCGCCTCGCGCCCGACGACGCGCACTACAACGTGTGCTTCGCGGCGAGAATCCGCGCGCCGCTCGACGCGCGCGCGCTGTCGGCGGCGCTCGAGGCCGTCCAGGAGCGCCACGCGATTCTGCGGACCGTCTACGCGTTGGGCGACGGCGGCGACCCCGTCCAGGTCGTCCTCGAGGCCGGGGACGCGGAGCTCGACTTCGAGGTCGTGCGGACGCGGGGGCTCGACGACGACCGCGTCGCGGCGCTGCGGCGCGACGAGGCGCGGACGCCCTTCGACCTCGAGGAGGGGCCGTTGCTGCGCGGGCGCCTCTACGTCGACGCCGACGACGACGCGCCGGCGCGGGGGCGCGACGCCTCGGGCGACGGCGCGCGCGCGCGGTCGCTGTCGCCCGCGCGGCGGCGGTCGACGCGCGCGGCCCTCAAGGCGAAGACGCCCCAGAAGCCGCCGCGGGACACGGGCAGCGGCGGCAAGGCGTCGGCGGCGACCCTCGACGGCGCGACGCGCGCGTCGCTCGCGCTCGTCGACGGCGCCGCGCAGCGCGCGGCCAAGGCCCTCGGCGGCGAGCTCCAGCTCACGCTGCACCACGTCGCCTGCGACGGCTGGAGCCTGGGGCTGCTGCTCGACGACGTCGCCCGCGAGTACGCGCGGCGCGTCGCCGGCGAGGCCGGGGCGGCGCGGGAGCCGGCCGTGTCGTACGCGGCGTTCGGCCGGTGGCAGCGGGCGGCGTACTTCGAGTCGGCCGACGCGCAGGCGTCCCTCGCCTACTGGCGCGGCGAGCTCGTCGGCAAGGGCGACCTGCCGATCCTCGAGCTGCCGACGGACTTCCCGCGGCCGTCGCTGCAGAAGTTCGCCGGCGCGACGGTCGCGGCGGCGGTCGAGGGCGCGGTCGCGGAGAGGCTCCAGGCGCGCGCGCGCGACCGGGGCTGCACGCTCTACGTGGCGCTCCTCACGGCCTGGGCGGCCTTCCTCCACCGCCACGCGCGGGCCGACGAGCGCACGAAGGACGCGAAGCGCGGCGAGATCGTCGTCGGCGCGCCGCTCGCGTGCCGCGGCACGGACGAGCGCGAGAAGATTCTGGGCCACTGCGTCAACGCGATGCCGCTGCGCATCGCGTTCCACACGGACGCGACCTTCGGCGACGCGCTCGCCGCGGCGCGCGACGCCGTCGTCGGCGCCGTGCACCACCAGGACTATCCGCTCGCGAAGCTCGTCGACGATCTAGGATTGGCCGCGGACTTTGACGCGTCGCGGCCCGCGCTCTTCCAGACCCTCTTCGCGCTGGAGCGCGCGGCGGCGCCGGGCGACGCGCTGACGCCCTTTTTGGCCATCCCCGGGTCGTCGCTGGAGCTGGAGGGTGCGCTGCGGCTCGAGTCGTTGCCGACGGATTCGGAGACGTCCGCGTTCGACGTGTCGCTGAGCGTCGCCGCGGACCCGGCCGACGGGTCCCTGCGCTGCAAGGTCACCTACGCGACGGCGCTCTTCCGCCCGGCGACGGCGGCGGCCCTGGCGCACCGCTTCGCCGCCTTCGTGGCGACGGTCGCGGACGCGCCCGTCGACGCGAAGCTCGGCGAGCTCGACGTCGTCACGGCCGCCGAGGCCGGCGAGCTCGAGGCCGCGCGCCGCGGGCCCGCCCTCGGCGGCGACCCGGACCGCGTCCGGGGCACGGTGCTCGCCAAGTGGCTCCGGAGCGCCGACACGCGCGGCGCGGCCGTCGCGCTCGACGACGCCGCGGGCCTCGCGCTCTCGCACGGCGACCTGCGGCGCCTGGCCAAGGAGTTCGCCGACACGGTCGACGAGCTGTCGTCGACGACGCGCCGCGCGCCGACGGCGTCGCTGCCGCCGACGCCCCTGCGGCGGCCGACGCTCGCGGGCAAGCTCCGGGGCCTCTTCTCGTCGGAGACGCCGCGCGAGCCGCGGTCGCGCCAGTCGTCCGCGGACTCCCAGGGCTCGTCCGACGACGGCCGGAGCCGCAGCGTCTGCGATTCCGTGGACTACGCGGACCTCGGCCGGTCCCTGGGGCTCTCGAGCGACGGCGCGGCGAGCCCGGGCCGCCTCGCGGCGGACGCGGGCGACGCGGAGGACGTCGGCGGGGCCGCGGGCGGCGCCGTCGTCGTCGCGCTGCCCCGCACGTGGCGCGTCGTCGCCGCCGCCGTCGGCGCCGTCGCGAGCGGCCGGCCCTACTGCCTCCTCGACGCGTCCCACCCGCCGGGTCGCCTCGAGCGGCTCGCGCGGAACGCGCGCGCCGCGGTGCTCGTCGCGGAGCGGCCCCTCTACGGCGACATCGGCCGCGAGGCGTCCGGCGACGTCGCGCCCCTCTTACCCTTCGACGCCGGCGCCGCGCGGAACATGCTCGAGGCCGCGCGGCGCGAGCCGCTCCCGGAGGTGCGCAAGTTCGAGGCCGCGGCCGCGGCGCGCGTCGCCGAGGACGACGCGGCCTACGTCCAGTACACGTCCGGGTCCACGGGCGCGCCCAAGGCCATCGTCGTCGGCCACGGGGCCCTGGCCCACGCCTGCGGGTGGCACGAGGCCGAGTACGGCACGCGCGCCGCGGACGTCGCCGCGCAGTGCGTCGGCACGGGCTTCGACCCCTGGAACCTCGAGGTCTGGCCCTTCTTCGCCGTGGGCGCGGCCGTCGCCATCGTCGACGACGACGCGCGGGCCTGCCCCGCGTCGCTGTCGAAGCGGCTCGCGGAGGCGCGCGCGACGTTCTGCCTCCTCCCGACGCCTCTGGTCGAGCTCCTCTTCGCCTTCTACGACGCGGAGGCCGCGCCGCCGAAGCTCCCGGACCTGCGCGTGCTCTACTTCGGCGGCGACAAGCTGAAGACGCTCCCGCCCGCGGCGCTCTACGCGGCCGCGGCCGCGAGCCTCCGCGTCGACAACCACTACGGCCCCGCGGAGTGCACCGTGCTATCCACGCTCTTCGAGATCCCCCGGCCGGGCCGGCGCGGCGGCTTCGACCTCGACGACGTGCCCATCGGCCGGCCCCTGTCGTGTCACGTGACCTGCGACGTCGTCGACGCGCGGCTGCGCCGGGTCCCCGTGGGCGTCGTCGGCGAGCTCGTCGTCGGCGGCCTGGGCGTCGCCGACGGCTACATGGGCATGGCCGACGTGACGGCGCGCAAGTTCGTCGCGGACCCCTTCGACGGCGGCGACCGCATCTACCGCACGGGGGACCTCGCGCGGTGGCGGCGCGGCGGCGACGGCTCGCTCGCGATCCACTTCGTCGGCCGCGCGGACGACCAGGTGAAGATCCGCGGCATGCGCTGCGAGCTCGGCGAGATCGAGGCGGCCCTCGCGGGCCACGCGGGCGTCGACGTCGCCGTCGCCGTCGCGGCCGAGGGCAAGGTCGCGGGCTACTACGTGCCGCGCGGCGACCCGTCGCCGGATCTGGACCTGGAGCTCGCCCAGTGGTGCCGGAGCCGGCTGCCGGCCCACGCCTGCCCGTCGGCCTTCATCCCGCTGGCGCGCCTGCCCTACACGCCCAACGGCAAGGTCGACCGGAGGGCGCTGCCCGCGCCGGACTGGGCCGCGCTGGCGGAGACGCGGCGCGACGACGACGCGCTCGCCGACGACGGCCGGGGCCCGCGGACGGCGACGGAGGCGCGCGTGGCGTCGGCCTTCGCGTTGGTGCTGCGCGTCGACGAGCACCGGGTCGGCGTCCACCGGTCCTTCTTCGACCTCGGCGGCACGTCGCTCTCCGCGGCGCACCTCCTCGGCACGGTCGAGCGCGTCTTCGGCGCGGCGCCGAAGCTCAGCGAGCTCTTCGCCGCGCCGACGGTCGCGGCGCTCGCGGCGCTGCTCGACGCGCGGGGCTCCGGCGGCGGCGCGCCGGACGACGCCTTCGACCTCGAGTCCGAGGTCGTGCTCGACGACGCGATCCGGCCGCGGCCGCGCCACGACGCCGCGGCGCTGGCCGCGCGCGTCGCGAAACCGCGGGCGTGCCTCGTCACGGGCGCGACGGGCTTCGTGGGGTCCTATTTGCTACGGGAATTGGCGGCGTCGGGACGGTACGCGCGCGTCTACTGCCTCGTGCGCGCGCGCGACGACGCCGAGGCCGCGGCGCGCGTGCGGACGGCCGTGCTGAACTTCGTCTGCGGCGGCGACGAGGCCGCGCTCGGCGACGTCGACCTGAGCCGCGTCGCGCCGCTCCGGGGCGACCTCGCGCTCGCGAGGCTCGGTCTCACGGAGGCGGCCTGGGACGAGGTGCGGCGCGGCGTCGACGCCGTCTTCCACAGCGGGTCCCTCGTGAACTTTTTGTACCCGTTCCAGGCGCTCAAGGCGGCGAACGTCGGCGGCACCGTGGAGCTGCTGAAGCTCTGCGCGGCCGCGGGCGGCGAGGACGACGCGGCGCCCGTGCCGCTCCACTTCGTGTCGTCGCTGTCGACGCTCGGCGGCGGCGACAACGGCTTCGGCGAGGACGCGGCGCTGGCGCCGCCCGGGACCGTCTTCGGCGGCTACGCGCAGACGAAGTGGGTCGCGGAGCGGCTCGTGCTTCTCGCGCGGGACCGCGGCCTGCCCGTGACGGTGCACCGGCCGCCGCGCGTCGTCGGCGACCGGGTCCGCGGCGGCGGCAACTTCGACGACTTCCTCTTCCTCGCGCTCCGCGGCGCCGCGGAGCTCGGATCCGCGCCGGACATCTCGTGGACGGAGCGGACGGCGCCCGTCGACTTCGTGGCGACGGCCGTCGCGGCGCTGGCGGCCGACGCGGCGAATCTGGGCGGCTGCTTCCACTACCTCTCCGAGGCCGAGCTCCAGTGGGCGGACCTCTTCGCGTGGGCGCGCGCCTTCGGCGCGGACGTCGGCGCGGGCGCCGTGCCCTTCTCGGACTGGAAGGACCGGGTCAAGGCCGCGGGGCCGGGCGAGAACGCGCTCTTCCCGCTCCTGCCCGTCCTCGACGAGTTCGGCGAGATCGCCGACTTCCCGGCGTTCACGTCGACGGCGACGGACGCCGCGCTCGCGCGGGCCGGCCTGCCCCTGTGCCCGTCCTTCGACGAGGCCGCCGCGCGGACCCACTTCGCGCGCATGGCGGACCTCGGGCTGCTGCCCATGCGCGCCGGGGCCACTGGCGCGGCGTAACATGTGTAGCATTAGGTCACACGACGACGACGCGCGCGGGAAAGGCGCGCCGACACCTCGCCGGCGGCGGCGGCCGTCGGCCTCAGGAGAACATGCTGCCCATGGAGGCCATGTAGTCCTTCTCGACGATGGTCTTCATCGACATCGTGAACGTCGTGCCCTTCATGTTGAGGAGCGTCATCGTCAAGGAGTCGCCGGAGCGCTCGTAGGTGTTGGTGCAGGACCAGTCGCTCCCGTCGCGCTTCATGGTGACGACGACCTTGTCGTCGCCCTCGCGCGCGCCCGTGATCTTCATCACGTTGCCGAGGATGTCCTTGTCCTCGATCTCCGCGCCGTCGAGCGGCACGGGCGCGACCGTCCGGTCCATGACCACGCCCTTCTCGACGCGGACCCACTTGCCGTCGGCGATGCCCAGGTCGAACTTGGGCTTCGACCCCTCGGAGACGGCCTGCTGCATGTACCTGTGTGCGGCGTGATCATCACCGAGACCGTCGTGGAGGACACCGGAGCAAGACGCGATCTCCTTGCCCGCGCCGGCCTCCTCGACGAACCTATGTGTGGCACGCGTGATCACCGAGACCGTCCTGGGGAACGCACTTCTCAAAGTCGCCCGTCCGCTCCTGCACCTGCCAGCGGACCACGGGCCACTCTTTGCTTTCTATCGCGGCCATCGTGCGAGCAGCTACCAAGTATTGGGTGGGCAGCTTTTGGTGGCCACCTCGGCTGAAGAATCAAGGATAATGTTGAACGGAAACTTCCGCCGCGCTTTGCAAAGCGGGTAGGTCATGTCCCTATGGCCTATGTGATCGCGTTTTACCTACCCGCCTTGCGAGAGGGCGACGACGCAGCGAAGGCGGCGGCGGCGGAGGCGCTGCGCAACCTCGCGTGGGACGACGCGAACAAGGTCCTGATCGCTGAGGCCGGCGGTATCCCGCCGCTCGTCGATTTGCTGCGCGACGGGAGCGCGGAGGGCAAAGAGTGCGCCGCGGAGGCGCTGCGCAACCTCGCGTGGGACAACGCCAACAAGGTCCTGATCGCTGAGGCCGGCGGTATCCCGCCGCTCGTCGAGCTCCTGCGCGACGGGAGCACGGAGGCCAAAGCGGAGGCCGCGAAGGCGCTGAGCAGCCTCGCGCGCGGGGACGACGCCAATTTGGTCCTGATCGTCGAGGCCGGCGGCATCGCGCCGCTCGTCGCGCTCCTGCGCGATGGAAGCGCGGAGGCCAAAGAGGAGGCCGCGTCGGCGCTGCACAACCTCGCGATCAACGATGCCAACCGGGTCCTGATCGCCGAGGCCGGCGGCATCCCGCCGCTCGTCGACCTCGTGCGCGACGGGAGCGGGAGGGGCGGATTGCAGGCCGTGTGGGCGCTGCGCCACCTCGCGCACGACAACGACGCCAACAAGGTCGCGATCGCGCGGGCCGTCGGCTTCGACGCGGTCGTCGAGTTCGTGCAGCACGGCAGCGTGACCGTCGACGGTGATTACACAGCCGTGGCCCATGCAGGTCCCACCGCCGAGCGCGAAGCCGCGTGCGTCCTGCTCCGCGCGTGCCTCCCGCGCGCGATCCCCGACGAGATCGCCATCGCCGCCGCGGCCTTCCTCATGTAATAAGCCCCGCGGCTAGTAAGAAGCCTCCACCGCCGCGACTTACGGCGGTCGCCTTCCCCCCTGGCCGCGCGGGGGGCAGGGCCGCCGGAGGAACGGCTTGCACTGGGCCTCGACGGCCGCGCGCTGGTCCTCGGCGCCCGCGCGGGGCCGCAAATACCGCGCGTTGAGCTCCGCGGCCCGGGTGAGCATCTCCGGCGGCCAGCGGCAGCCCGCGACCTGGCGGATGCGCTGGGAGATCTCGTTGCGCTTCCGCAGGCGGAGCGCGGCCTTGGCCGGGTCCGACACGGTGCCGTGGCCGCCCACCCCCCTCGTGAACTTCGCGCCGTGCGCGCCCACCGTGAACCCGAAATCCGCGGCCGCGCGGAGCGAGAGGTGGATGTCGAGGCCGATGCCCGGCTCGCCCGGCGCGGACAGCGTCTCGTCGAAGCCGCCGAGCGCGGCCCACGCGTCCGCCCTCACGCAGAGCGGCGAGAGCCAGGCCTCCGTCGCGAACGCGAAGGGCGGGCTCCCGCGGCCCGGCGCCGCGCCGGCGAGGTCCGGCGCCACAAAGGGCAGGGGCCGCGTGACCTTGGCGTTCTTCATCGCCGCCGGGTGGTCGACCTGCACCTCTCCGAGCTCGACCTGGCAGACCTCGGCCGCGAGGCCGCTGACGACGCCGAGGCGCGCGCCGCGGAAGGCCTCGAAGAGCGCGAGCACCTCCCGCGCCCAGCCGGCGTCGTCCGGCAGGTCGTCGTCCTGGAGGAAGCAGTAGACGGCGCCCGTCGCGGCGCGCGCGCCGCCGTTGTAGGCGCGGATCTCGTGCACGTCGGCCGACGCGACGAGCTTGTCGCGCGGCGCCAGGTGCGCGCGCCAGGCCTCCGGCGACCCGTCCGTCGACCCGTCCTCGGCGACGACGATCTCGCCGACGCCAGGCTCGGCGTGCAGGAGCTCGGCGATCTTCGCGATGTTGCCCTTATGGTTGTAGCTCATGACGATGGCCGAGACGTACGGGCGCGGACCCAGCGACGGCAGGGACGTGCCGTTGCGGTAGAAGTCGCGCGACGGTGCCACGGCGGCGCAGAGCGCCGCGGGCAGCGCGACGACGATGGCTGCCCTCATCATCACCGCGGCTTGGTTGTTGCCCTGCACTTGTAGGCAAGTCCGGCTTCGCCACGGCATCGATCACAGCATGTGCCCGGCTACGGCCTTCTTCTGAGAGGCGCGACCGATTCTTCTAGCGATGGTCGCGCCCGACCTGGAGATCGCGATCAACTTCGCGTCGCAGGCCGTCGCCGCGGACCAGGCCGGGGACAGGGCCACGGCCCTGGCCCGCTACATGGACGCCGCGGGCGCGCTCCTCGCCATCGTCAAGGTCGAGCGCGACGCCGCCAAGGCGGCGAAGCTCGCGGCGCGCATGGAGACCTACGTGTCGCGCGGCGAGGCCCTGAAGCGCGAGCTCGCGGCGGCGCGGCGCGCGGCGGCGGCGCGGCCGCCGCCGCCGCCCGCGGCGTCGCCGCGGACCGAGGCGGCGACGAGGGCCAGGGACGCGCGGTCGCGCGTGTCCACGGGCCGGTCCTACTTCACGGCCGACGACAAGTTCCGCAGCGACGTCGCCGCGGGCCGCGCCTTCTGCGCCGCGGCGGAGAAGCGCGGCGGCCAGTACGTCGACGACAAATTCCAGGGTCCCGCGGCTTTATCGCGCGACGGCTACGCGCTGCCGGCCCACTCCGCCAAGGACGTCGCGGGCTGGGTCCGCGGCGGCGCCCTGGCGGGTCCCGACGGGCGGCCCGTGGGCCTCTTCGGGGCCGACGGCCCGCGGCCGCGCGACGTGGGGCAGGGCGCGCTCGGCGACTGCTGGCTGCTGTCGTCGCTGAGCGTGCTCGCGAACTTCCCCGAGCTCGTGCGGCGCCTCGTCTGGGCCGCCGACGACTCGGGCCGGTCGGCCGCGGGCGTCTTCGCCGCGCGGCTCTGCCTCGCGGGCGAGTTCCGGGTCGTCACCGTCGACGACGCGGTGCCCGCGCGCCGCGACGGCCGGCCCGCGTTCGCGGGCGTCGACGCGGGCGCGCTCTGGCCCGCGATCGTCGAGAAGGCGGCGGCGAAGCTCCACGGCTCCTACGGCGCGCTCGACAGCGGCAACGCCGCCGAGGCGCTCGGGCTGCTGACGGGGCTGCCGACGCGGACGTGGCCGAAGATCCACGAGATGCTTAAAAAAACGGGCGGCCTCGACGAGCTCCACGGCGCCTTGGTCCACGCGCACCGCTCCGGGTTTATTATTTCCGCGTCCTGCGGTTTCACGGGCCTCGGCGCCGACGAGGCGCAGGAGGAGAAGATCTACGATCGGGTCGGTCTACTCAACGCGCACGAGTACGCGGTTTTGCGCGTCGTCGACGTCACGGTCGGCGCGGGCAAAGCCCGCCTCGTCCAGCTGAGGAACCCCTGGGCGAAGCGCGAGTGGCGCGGGCCCTGGAGTAGGGGCGGGCCCGAGTGGGCCGCGCTGCCGGAGGCCGCGCGGGCCATGCTCGACGACGGCCGGTGTTTGGCGTCCGACGACGGCGTCTTCTGGATGGCGCTCGCGGACGTCGCCAAGTACTTCCACGAGGTCACGGTCTGCCGCCTGCGGCGGAACTTCGCGCAGGTGCGGTGGCCCGTGTCGTCGCCGGACGCGCTCGACGCGCCGACGCCCGCGTTCCGCGTCGCCGCGCCCGCCGGCGAGCCGACGACC